GGTCATTTTTAATAACTACTCAGCAGATTCTGGTGTGAAGCCAAGATTGAGAATCACTGAGTTAGGATATGATGACAGGAGGATGAATGATTTCAATTTCATTCATTCAATAAACATTTATTGAACACCATCAGTCACTGGACACAGTGCAGATACAAAGATAACTGAGACTATCTCTCTCTATGAATGGTCATAGGCAGTGAGAAAGATAGAAAGAGCAATAATGTACTATAACCTGAGCATATAGGGCTGGGTGATGCTGGGTTTGGGAGCAGTGCCTACAGCCCATCATTTTTCTAAAACATGCCAATAGGTTATCACATTTTCAGAAAGTAATAAGCAGATCCCTACTTAATGTAAGTATGAATAAAGTTTCTCATCTTGGGGAACTAGGACAGTTCCTCCCAAATTATATGATGGTTACAAACATAACTTTAAGGAGCTAGCATTTTATTTCATGTAAAATTTAACAAGTTTTTTAATGCTGTATTTTCTCCTGAACTGTGATAATTTCATAACTTGTGAGTAAATTCAGGAATAGCAAATCACTGTGGAAGTCATTATGGGCAGTGTGATTTGGTATTATGGTCTCCAGAGTGGTGTGTTCACAAAGGCAAACCATGGAAATATTAGCACTACTTTTTTTAAAAAAAAAATCTAATTTGGTCTTTAAATGTTTCTATTGATTGAATGTTTCATAAAGTATAACTATTTATATAGCAGTATATGTGTATAACTTATAAATAAACAAATATAGGTAGATACACTCAATATTTTTGGATTGGGAATATTCAATCACAAAAGTCAGAGACCACTGGTAGAGTGGTAAGAACATTGACCTAAAGGGTATTACTCCTACTTCAGCTACAAACTTGCTGTGTGAAAAATGGGCCGGTTACAAAGGTACTCTATGTCCTCTAAATCTATAAAACAAGGAGCTTGTTGTAAATATCCTTGAGATCTCTTCAGTTCTGGGATTTTATAAGTGATTTTGTTCTTTATTTTCCTGTCCGGTATAATTATTACATTTAAAGAACAGAAGGTTATCTTTTGTTGTTGTTCTTCAGTATTTGAATTGGATGAAGGTGTAAGCCTGTTTCTGAGTTCCTGGAATATTTCCAAAGACAGCTCTCTGTACCTTGGCTACATTCCATCTCTTTGATGTTGCTGACTGTAAATATGATGATGCCATACACACTATGACAGTTCTTTAAATTCTGTTAAATTTAGGCATAAATTTCGGCAAAGGACATACCCCAGTTAGTAGCAGAGGGCAAAACTTTGTACATAGACACAGTTACATATGTGCAAGTGCATGTGTGCACACACATCAATCCTTAACTATTGCTTAATTTCATTGCCTTCATAAACTAAAATTCAGAAAGCTTCAAGAAAGCTTCAAGATTTAAGCTCAGTACACAAAGAACATTAATTGTAGTTTTAATAGTTAAAAGAGCCAAATAGATCCATGCATATCAAGTTTAGTGTCTACTCAGAAACTGACTTATGAGATAGAGGATTATTTTCAAAATTTAGATATAACTTAAAACTCAAGAGGTTAGCAAAACCTTATTTCACCTTTTAATTTTTTTAAGATTTTATTTATTTATTTATTTATTTATTTATTTATTTGACTGAGTGCAAGTGGGTGGCGTGGGGCACGGAAGGAGAGGGAAAAGCTGCTGAGCAGGGAGCCCGATGAGGGGCCTTGATCCCAGGACACTGGAATCATGACCTGAGCCAAAGGCACTTAACTGACTGAGCCACCCAAGTGCTCCTATTTCACCTTTAAAAAAGTTTTTTTATTTAAATTCAATTTAGTTAACATATATTGTATTATTAGTTTCAGGGGTAGAAGTTAGTGATTCATTAGTTGCATATAATACCCAGGGCTCATTCCATCAAATGCTTTTCTTAATGCCCATCACCCAGTTACCCTATTCACCATCTTCCACCCCTGCCTCCAGCAACCCTCAGTTTGTTTCCTGGAGTTAAGAGTCTCTTGTGGTTTATCTCCCTCTCTGTTTTTATCATATTTTATTTTTCCTTCCCTTCCCTTATGTTCATCTGTTTTGTTTCTTGAATTCCACATATGAGTGAAATCATATGTCTTTCTCTGACTGACTTGTTTTGCTTTTTATTTCACCTTTTGATTTAAATTCAAAGGAATTTAAATTTTATATATTCTTAGAACATTCTCCTCTAAAAACAATATTCAACTTTAGAATTCAATAGAATAAGATGTTAAACTTCATTGTTCATGGATCATAACAAAATAGACTTTTGATGTTTTTTCTTCAAATAATTAGTTACACTGATTATTACATAGTTCCTTAAAACTTTGTTTCTCTGACTTAGTTTTGTTTGCTATTTTCAATAAGGAGTTATTGCTAAATAGTCTGTTGACCTACTATTTTTACATTTCATCCCTTACATGCTCTTTTTTTTTAAAGTTTATTTATTTATTTGAGAGATTGAGAGAGAGAGAGCAGGAACAGGAGAAGGAGAGGGAAAGGGAGAGAATCCCAAGCAGACTCCCTGCTGAGCACTCATGGAGCTCAGAGCTTGATGTGGGCCCTATCTTACAACCATCACAGCCCGAGCTGAAACTAAGAGTCAACACTTAATAGACTCTGCTACCCAGGTGCCCTGCTTTTTTTTTTTTATTATTAGTATTCAAAAGCTTGAAGAAACTTTAGAGAACATAACAAAGGTTTTTTTTTTTTTTTGTAAATACTTTGGATTTTTAAAATAATACTATATAATATAAAATATCATAATGCTTTTTGTGAAATTCTTTGTTCCAAATATCATATGAAATGGAAACTGATAATAGTGCCATGAATCTTTACCATAAAGTTCAATATTAAAAACCAGGTTCTGTGATTTACCTATGAGGATGGAGTAATCACATTCTGGCACATTCTATATAATAAGTGCATCATTTTAAAGATTTATCTTAATAGGAAAAATGGCAGAAAAAAGGAACAACAACACAACACAAAGAATGACAAATCATAGCTGTTTCCATGTAAATAGATGTTGAAAATATGAGCTCATGTAAATGACTATAGGCACAGAATTAACGTAAAGAAAAAGAGCAAAGAACAGAAAAATGAGAACAAAATGAAAAAATGCAAGTGTTTTATAAATAGAAAGAAGGAAACTCTTAAACTCCAAAATTGATTTTATTTTGCATGGTAATGAATTAAAGAGGAGAAGGAAAATACCACTTTAAACTTAGACCTGTATTAGCACAGCCTGTACTTTGTCATCTGCTGGGAGTATAGGATGCAGTCATTTTGCTGCTGCCTAGAACATGCAGCCAGGAACAAATTTCACTCAGCCTTCCAATTGGCAACCAATCCTCAACCGTGAATTCAAGGTTCTAACCTTTAATTTTAGTGCTGATCATAAACTAGGACTGAGATATTCACCACAGGGAAGGAGCTAGTTAGTGGGAGAGGAAGAAGTTTGTCACTTTATTCTGGGGGATCAAAGGCAGTAGCCCACCTTCTACCCTCCCCACCACCGCCACCCGGCCAAGAGCCACTGCACTCTCCTATACTTTCTAGAAGCCCTACAGTTCTGTGCTACTTGTTTAGCAGAGGATAGATATACTTGCATTGTTATGTGTTCGTTTTGCATTATGTGTATATTTGCCCTGTCTTCTGCTTTTGATTTAGGTCATCTCTTCGCTTTTCCTAATGCCTCTCAAAGATAGAAAAAGGATGAGGTTTGGATGGTTTGGAAGGTGTTTCTGTTTCAGCTGTTTGCTCTTCTCATGACACATCATACACATGCTTCACTTTCTTCCCAAATTTTCTCGAGACAAGGGGACTTTTTAATACTGTTTTATTTTAGAATTATTTCAAATTATAATGATAGTACAGAATTCTGGTAGACTTCCCTATTGTCAACATCTTTCATTACAAAGTAGTCAGGGGCTTTTAATATGAGTCCACAGATTATTTTTTTTAAAGATTTTATTTATTCATGAGAGACAGAGAGAAAGAGAGGCAGACACAGGCAGAGGGAGAAGCAGGCTCCATGCAGGAAGCCCAGTGTGGGACTCAATTCTGTGACTCCAGGATCACACCCTGAGCTGAAGGCAGACGCTTAACTGCTGAGCCACCCAGGTGTCCCAGAGTCCACAGATTAATTTGAGAGTCCATGAGCTCCTGAAATTCATGGCCACTTGTATATATTTGAATGAAAATGCATTTCATTTCATTCAAGAACCACACAGATTAAGATTGCACTTTTGGATTTATCAATGCTTTGCCCTAGGTGCAATACATATACTCAAGTTTCCTGCCATGCTAATACATTTTTAAATTTATTTAGCACACTATCTACCTCCAAATGCACATTTGCACAAATATGTATGGGCGGATTTTTGGTACAACAGAACTGACCAAAGGGTTCTTTATCACATCCCTGTAATTCTCTGAATTACTAAACACTATGTGTTCACATAAAATGTATTAACTCTTGTTTGAAGAACTCAGTGTTTCTTCTAAGAGAGGAGTCTGTCTATACTACATAAAGGTCTCAAAGTTTGAACCTTGGGGTTCAGAATGGTTTGGTGGGAAAGGGAGAAGGGCTCCCTATCCAGAACAATTTATATTTTATCAGTCTCCTGAAAAGATTTGGATAAAACCACATTTATAGACTTCCTAAGTTTTGAACATTAATTTAACAGGAAAGGGTATTTGGAACTATTACAAAACATTACTGTTTTCTCTTGAAACTTTGGGGGTGGTAGATAACAAAGCTGTGAAATTACAATAGACCTAATTTTCTCTTGTGTCTACATAGAGTGCATTGTATGAAGTCTTTCTCATTTCACTTAAGTTCTAAAGACGAAAGATATTATAACAACAGAAATCCAGGATTCTGTGAAACCTCCCCCAAGTTAAAACTTCTGTGCATAAGCAGTTTTGAATATTTTCAATGCTATTTTTGCTTATTTCCTAATATTAGGGGTTTTGTTTCAGACTTACAGATTCCAGTCTGATGTTAGAAGATTATTCATCCAAGTTAAGCCCCCAAGCAAAGAGAGCCAAGAAGAGCCTTCTCTCTGGGGAGGAGAAGGAAAATTTGCCAAGTGACTATATGGTGCCCATTTTCTCAGGACGGTATGTATGCATTCTGTTCCTGGCTTTAAATATTTGAAAATGAAGAGTAAATGTCAGGTAATAATAATAATTGCAGCTGATATTTATTGAGCACTTAACTATACTGATTGAGAAAGATGTAAGGAACCTTGGAACTCAGCACTTAGGGAGACTTGTTCATTGTGAAAATCTGCCATCACCAGGATGGCTACATGACAAAAAAGAATGATCAAGAACTTAGTTCTAGTGATGTAACTGATTGAAATTAGGATGAGAGCATTGGATGCTAGTGATTGGACTCTATATATAGTCACTAGAATAGAAAGGTTAAAAACCATAAAATATTGGATGAATGAAAAAATTCAGATGTTATGTTTAGGCAGAAAGAAGCCATTGTGGTTGCCAATGTGGTTTTAATTATTATTCATTATGAAGAAAAAAATCTTAGATAACATAGACTAAGTAAAAGAATGGCATCCTAATTTGAATGCCTGCTTATTTGATATTTTTTAATGTAAAAAAGATTACTATTTATCTTGAGGCAAACTTCAAACAAAATAATCATGAAATCACAAGTCCATAATGCCAAATTTCTGTATTTATAAGGTAAATATTTGTGTATGTTCTTTTTTTAAAAATGTAAACTTTTTTTGAGTTATTATAATATCTAGAGGAATCTTGAAACCTGTTTGAGACACCAAATTAAGATTTAATGGGAACCTTTGGAACCTTCCCTGTTTATTTTCCTTTGAATTTAGATCAAGTATGTAGTTCCATATCAGGATCACAGGCACACAAACAATATATCATCTTACAATATCATTTTTTCTGGAAGGAAAATCTTAAGTTAATCTTTTATTGTAGACTCAATCCTATTTAAATACCCTAAAGAAACCAATGAAATGACCTTAAGCAGTTATCTAATCTCTCTGAGCCTTGTTACTGTATGTCTAAAAAACAAATGATAGAGTTTACCACATAGGATTGTTGTGGGCATAAAATGAGATAATGTATGTAAACAGCACTTGGCGACACCACAGTGATGGTAGGAATTATTATTGCTGTGACCATTACGGGTTAAAGTGATGATCACTTCTGAATTGGAAGCTTTAACTCCTGATTTATTAGGTTTTTCTCTGTCAGGTTTTCTTTGGGTACAGTACACAATGTCTAAATTCTGATACTTTAAACTTAGCTAAATCAGGCAATCCTATCACTGCCATCCACAGTATCCATGTTTTGCTCTTATATTTTAGCCAAGTGCATGTCAGTGGACTTACAGATACGGAAGAAGAAAGAATTAAAGAAGCTGCTGCTTATATAGCCCAGAGAAATCTTCTTGCTAGTGAAGAAGGAATCATGGCATCCAAACAGTCTGCAGTATCCAAACAGTCTGCAGTATCCAAACAGTCTGCAGTGTCCAAACAGTCCACGGTATCCAAACAGTCCACTGTATCCAAACAGTCTGCAGTATCCAAACAGTCCGCGGTATCCAAACAATCTGCATCCACTCTTCACCAGGAGGAAGCTTTTGAGAAGAAGTCAAGGAAGGTAGCAATTCGAGAAAAGGCAGAGCACTTGTCGCTGACAAAAACAGTAAGAACAGACAATTTAATATAATTTACAAAAGCAAAAATGTATATGACATTGTGTGTGTACCTATAGATTTATTTGTTTTGAATGAAGAAAATATGTAGTCTTACAGAGAAACAAAACTAAAGAAAACAAGGAGGAAAACATCAAAATGTATGAGTCAAAGAAAGAGGTAGTAGTTTTATTTTTTATTTATTTATTTTTTAAAGATTTTATTTATTCATGAGAGACACACACAGAGAGAGAGACAGAGACACAGGCAGAGGGAGAAGCAGGCTCCATGCAGGGAGCCTGACATGGGACTCGATCCCAGGTCTCCAGGATCAAGCCCTGGACTGAAGGCGGCGCTAAACCGCTGAGCCACCCGGGCTGTCCCAGTAGTTTTAAATTCCATGGAATTTTAGGTTCTACAGAAATTATTCTAAAGAACCATAAGAAATCCGCCTTAGGGAAAGTAAAATATGTTGCTGAGGTTTAGAACATAAAAAATGGAATGTATCTTTTTAAAAGGGGGAAGGAGGGGTGCCTGGGTGGCACAGCTGCTTAAGCGGCTGACTCTTAATTTTTGGCTCAGGTCATGATCTCAGGGTGGTGAGATTGAACCCGGGAAGAGTCCCGAGTCAAGCCCCACGTGGGGTTCTATGCTACACACTGAGTCTGCTTGTCCCCCTTCCTCCCCCAGTACCCCTCCCCTCTGCTTGCTTGCTCTCCTTCTCTCTCTCACTAAAATAAATAAGTAAATAAATAAATAAATAAATATATATATATATATATATATATATATATATTTTTTTTTTTTTTTTAAAAAGGTGGTGCAAAGAGAGAGAAGGTATTTGGTCTAAATAGAAAAGTAAGCCTCCAAGTGGAAAAATGATAATTTGGGTTTTTGTTATTTTAGTAGCATGGAGTACTTTGATTTCATAGAATTTTGATTTTTTTTTTTTGTAGTTAGAAGAAACTGAGGCATTTCATAGAAAGTTGAATGAAGATCATCTTCTCCATGCTCCTGAATTTGTCATTAAACCTCGTTCCCACACTGTTTGGGAGAAAGAAAATGTAAAATTACATTGCTCTGTATCTGGCTGGCCAGAACCTCGTCTCACCTGGTATGTTATCTTTATGGAAACTACTCATAGAATCTATTATACAAAATAATTTTACCTCTAGTGAAAATATTTGGTATTATGAATATGCAAGAGTCAATATAAGCACCTATAAGTTTGTATAGATTTTTTAAATAGTGAAGAAAAGATACAAGGATGAATATTTTATGAATGAGAAGAAAGAACAGTTTCTTGCATATGTTATGAGATATTATATAATATTTCATAATCCTGTTATAAAAGGCATCTTTATCTTACTTTAAAATATTAAAGTGTAGTCAGCATATTTACATACAAAGAAAATACATGGCTTATGACTGCTGTGGGCTATAAAATTTAAATAAAAATTTGCTCCCATATAGTATAGGTATTACTTTGTGACCAGAAGCAAAACTCTTTTTAAAAAATAATTAAAACCCAGAGGGCTTTATCTCTACTACTCACATGAGTTGGGTCTCAACCTGTTTTCTAAAGCCAAGCAAAAGAGGGAACTGGATGGAATATATTACTCAATAGGAAGTCTTAAGAAATTTTCTTTCCATAAAGAATAAGCACCCGTTATCTCTTTCCATCGTATATCCTATTGCAATTGTCAATGACATCATGGTCCCTAAACTTCAAACTTTCTGTTCATATGTCATGATACCTGCCACAGACAGCAGAAGTATGAAAATGGTAGAACCAACCTACAAAGATGTTTTCTGTTTAATTCCCTGACACAGGTATTTTGCATGCTGTTTTCTTATACTCGGGAGTGTTGGTAAATGCACCCCGTGTTGCAGTATAAATGCCACACAGAATGTCATTGCAACCTGCAGAGGGCCTGACTCTTCCTTTCTGGTCCATTATCTCTGTTGAGCAGACACCTGGCTAGTAGAGGTGTCTGACAAGGAACATATTTCAATGAAAATGAAGTTTTTTTTTTAAATTAATTTACAAGCTTTAACGTATAAAGGTATACTACATGAAGCTAGGAATCAATTAATCTTGACCCCACCTTTCTCTGTGACTATGGAGTTGTATAGTTTGGCCTATCAAAGGGACATTCTCTCTTAAAAAACATTACTTCCGACCTCAAAAAGAAATCTAAACTTTCCAATTGCAATGTGTGAAGAATAACAAATTTTAAGCTCTAAGAAATATTATTTGATCAGCAAGAATTTTAAGCTCTAAGAAATATTATTTGATCAGCAAGAAATTCCTCTTCTCTTATGAATTAAAATGTACTACTCATAAAATATTTATTACACAATATTCTTTTTTTCCCCTGCTTTTTAAAAATTATAGTTAAAGGTGGCTTTCAAAAGGATACAAAGCAATTTCTGGGCAGTAAATACTAATTTCTTAAGTATTTGTTTATTCTGCTAAATACATCGCTGCTAGAATACAACCATGCTGTGTATCACTGATAGTGTTATTGGGCAAGAGTGATATGTTTTCACAGAAGCAGAGCTCAGACTCTGTCAGAGATGAAACTCCTACATCATGTCGTGTTGGCTGGAAAAGGAGTGATTGAAAAAAAGCAAAACATAGAAAAATTCCCCACAAAAATATGAGATGCCTGAATTGTCAACTCTTTGAGTTCTAGTTAAATTGTAAAATAGAAATACTGTCAATTTTCAGTTTTCCTCACTAGTGGAGCTGAGAAGTAGTATGACTAACTCCCCAAATCTTTCACATCTGGCTTTGAAATATTTTTTTCCCTAACATTGAACTTCATGTCTTCATTTTAAACAAAAATGAAGACACAGACACAAGATTTGTCTCAGGAACAATTGGGAAGTTGTTCATTTGCTGGAACAAGTCTTCTCAACTCATCCTGCGCATCCTCTAGTGCTTGGAGAAGACGACTCCATTCTTTATAAAATTCTCCCCGTAGAGATAGATCAGAGCATTTCTCAGAAAATCCTGCTGTGTTGCAGGCCAAATGTAAAGCAAATATGAAAACAAAAGAACCATGGACCACTAAGAAAATAGTTAACTGTACTTCAGAGAGCAAGATTTGCCCCTGAATAAGGCTTGCATTTAGACAGTCATCTCGCAGTAACTGAAAATTTGCTATGGTGGTAAGCAAGGTCAGATCCAGTTTTGTGGGGCATGAAACTCATACAATTTGGGGGCACTCTTTACTAAAAATAATGTTAATATTATAAATTAGGCAGTGAGCCTTGAGGAGACCCATGACGGTGAGAGACCCTGAAGCTTCAATGGCCTCCAGGTAAACCCACCTCTGGGAGTAAACTTCTATGTGGGATTAGTGTTCCTTCCTGGGTATGCTGCCTTTTAAAGAATAATAATTAAATGAAGCTCTGATTTACTTTGTAACACTGATATAGAGCATACAATCTTCCATAAGCAGTCTTCCCCTCAATGAGCACGGGACCCACAGCGCAAACCAAGGTTGTCAGTGGTTACTTCGCTGGCATTTTATGTCTTTTTGTTACTCAACTGTAGCTTTCTGGGCCTGACACCGAGTACCAGTATGAAAGAAATAATTAAGGATGACCTTCCTAAATAGAAGGAGGTAAATTATGGGAACAAGCTTGTGACAAGGCTTTCTACAGTCGTGCTGCCTCCTCTTGTAGCTGTTAGGTCCTTTGCCATGTTATTCAAGGGCATATGTGCCTGGGGCTGGCTCCCTTAGAGCCCTTTCCAAAGAGGGTTAAGTTCCTTCCAACTTTCCACTAAGCACCCTCAGGGCTTGGGAGTCCCTGAGGTCTAACAAATGATATGAACAGGCAGCAGCTGTTCTTTGGCCAATCCCATGTACTGACCAAGTATGTCTAAGTGGAATCCACTAAATGACAGGAGTACATATCACTCATCAGGGCCAGGTGCAGAGACACCAAGGAGCACTATCCTGTTCCAGTCACTTTAAGAGCAGAAGGAAACCTGTTTCAGCATCAGGGCCGGTAGAAAAGTTAGTTGCAAGGATGTTTCTGCGCCACCATAGTGAAATCCTCCTGAAGGAAGATATATATATATATATATATATGGTTATATATATATATATATATATATATATATGGTTATATATATATACATATACATATATATACATATACATATATATATATGGTTAAAAGCTCCAAAATTGTTTTACTTAATTTAATAGGTTATCATCACATAATGACTTGTATAACAGGCTATATATTGGTTTAAAAGAAGAGGAAAAGGGATCCTTGGGTGGCGCAGTGGTTTGGTGCCTGCCTTTGGCCCAGGGCGCGATCCTGGAGACCTGGGATCGAATCCCACATCGGGCTCCCGGTGCATGGAGCCTGCTTCTCCCTCTGCCTGTGTCTCTGCCTCTCTCTCTCTCTCTCTGTGACTATCATAAATAAAAATTTTAAAAAAATTCCCTTAAAAAAAAAGAAGAGGAAAAAAATTAATGTTTGTATTTTACTTGCATAAAGAAACTCTGGAAGGGTTCAAAGGAACCCAAGGATAACAGTTCTCTGTGGGGAATGAGCTGGGTAGGAGACAGACACGTTTGAAGAAGGAGACTGTTCCCTCTGTACCTTTATACTTTCTGGTTCCTGGACCATATAAATATATTGCCTATTCAAATTTTTAAAATCATATGAAATAGGGGAGAAGAGAAAAGTTCTCTTTTAAAAAAGGAAAGAATTGAGTTAATTTTATATGTCTTAAAAAAAGAGCCAGACTTAATTGGATTTCCAGTTCTAAGTCTAGATCAATTTTGTCAATGAAAATCTGGATTACTCTGTGGGGAGTCATACAAACTCACTGGAACAATGTGTTGGTGTTAATGAGTAGCAATTCATTCATTCTCTACTCACTCAACACCCATGTTTTTGGATCTGTCTGTGAATACTAGGCTAGATCCTCCAGTGGGACACTTAAAATACTTGTTTGGAATTCTACACATCACCCCTGAAGTTATTGTCAAATAGACACTTTTGTCATTAGGCATGATAATAATTCAATACCTCAGAATAAAATAGTATGAGAAATGTATTTCAGGAAGAGTCTGGAGACTTGAAAAAGCCTTATTCTGTGTTTGCAAATTATGAGAATTTATAAATTTCATAATAGAATCATATGTTGGATTTGTTTACAAGATAGAGTTATTCACAATGCTACTTAAATTTGGCAATTACTAAAAACAAAAAAAAATTGGCAATTACTACCATATTATCTTTGGAAAACAACCTACATTTAACATGGTTTAAAATTAAAATTATTTATAATTTATAATTACTTCCCAACATAAGGGTTCAGGGTTTTATTTTAGATTTTTCTTATTTATTTAAGTCCAAAGTCTAACCTAATGGGATAGATCTCTCTCAGCCAACTGGTTTTTAAAGTGGGTAATAGCTATTTATTAAAAATATAAAGTTGGATTCTAAGTAGTAATCACAGTTTGTGGTGAGATTCAACATGTTAGAGATCATTTTGGCATACATTATTTTTTTATAGAAATTATAATAAAAAAAAGAAAAAAAGAAATTAGAATGAACTTTTTTGCTTGACCATGCTTTACACTGCTGAAGAGCTTTCACTGTAACCCCTTGTTATCCAGTCAGCCCAAGATCCAGACATTTATTCGGGGGAATGAAGTGTGTGTTTTACACATATAAATGAAGAATCTTATTCTACAAATACTTACAGTATAATGGAAGCTCATTAAATAATGAGTAGTTCATAAGCTCTACATGAAAATGGTAAGGAAAATGGTGTACATCTGAACATTTACTAGAATTTCAGAAGCCTTGGGGTGCTTGGGTGGTTCAGTTGCTTAAGCCTCCAACTCTTGGTTTAGGCTCAGGGTCATGATCTCAGGGTCCTGAGACTGAGCCCATGTCATTGTAGGGCTCCCCGCTCAGCAGGAAGTGTGCTTCTCCCCACCTTTCTCTCACTTTGCTCCTCCCTCCACCTCATGCACTCACTCTCTCAAATGAATAAATAAATCTTCTAAAAAAAAAAAAAAAAGAATTTCAGAAGCCTTTTGACAAATAACCCCAGAGTGTAGATTACGCTCCAAAATTAGCCTCTGACTGGCCTGTTCAGAATTTAATTTTCCAGAAATAACAAGCTCTGAAGAATATACAGAGCAGGCCAAAAAATCTTGTCTTCTTCCCGGACTTCATTCTGTAGATAGGCAATCTCAAAGTGACCCCACATCTGAACAACTAAGTGAAGTTCTCAGAGAATAGAATAGAATTGCTTCCTAACTCAGTCCTTGTCTGCTGCTTTACAACAGGCTTTTCTTACACTGACATCTGGAGTTCCTGAGGAAAGACTAGAAGATCCTCCAAGTGTTGTGTGTTGTGCGCATGTAAATTTTAAACCGACTTCTTGTGCCAGGTGGTCACATTAGAAGTCATGGGTATTTAGCTGGGGGAAGGCATTAAAGTGCTAAGTCGGGTAGTGCTGGAGAGCAAGGAAGGTGAAGCATCCCTGGGAGCTGCAAGATACTGTTTTAACTCAAAGTTTATGGAGAGGGATCCCTGGGTGGCGCAGCGGTTTGGCGCCTGCCTTTGGCCCAGGGCGCGATCCTGGAGACCTGGGATCGCATCCCACATCGGGCTCCCGGTGCATGGAGCCTGCTTCTCCCTCTGCCTGTGTCTCTGCCTCTCTCTCTCTGTGTGTGACTATCATAAATAAAAATTAAAAAAAAAAAAAAACAAAGTTTATGGAGATATGAACACCATTTTTGGTCAGAAGCCAAATCGAGTGTCACTAGATTGATTGCTCCGTATCAAAGGCCATAGCCTTCGGTGTCATATTTCTCTTCTTATGCTAAAAAGAACTACCAAGAACACCCCAGCACATGAACAAACCCAAGCAAGAGGGAGCTTTTGAGTCAAGTGTGAAATGACTGAGACCAATTTATTCTGAAGAACATGCTAATTAATTTGTTTTACTCTGTCATTCATCAAAACAAGGAATGTTTGAAATTAGGAGCAGCTAGCAGATTTCTTTTTCTAGGCCATCTCTGCTCAAATAGCCCTGTCTGCCTGGAGCCCTGTGGTGAGATGGCCGGCTGAGGATGCTTTGGAGCTGGCAGGAAACAGCTTGCACTTCTGCTGTGGGTGGGGTAGAGGGTTGTACCTCTTCACCTGCCACACAGCTGTGGTTCCTCAGCCCATGCAACCCTCTCATTTCACATCTGAGGGAACTAACACACAAAGAGCCTCAGTTTACCTTCTTGGCACGTACTTATTTTAAATTATCCATATCATGAAGTGCATGTTTGCCAGAACTCTGTGCCTTCGGCCAAACATTATGAAGCCACAATTAACCTATTGTTACACAATAATACTGTTTAAGCCAATTTAACAAACACTGGGTGCCTAATATTTGCCCATGACTCATCCTTCCTTGAGAGTAGGAATAGAATAAATATGGATCAGACCCAACCCCTGTCACCAAGGCAATGACAGCTTAATTGAAGAGACACATATCCAACCATAATCTGATGAATGTTATGTATCTTGCAGCTTGAACCACGTAACACTGGTGTAGAGAGGCAGGAGTAATTAATATCATGTGAGATTTCAGGGAGGAGTTTATTGAAGAAATGGTATGTCATCCGAACCTCGAAGGATAAGCTGGGATTTTGCTAGGTGTAGAAGGAAAATGACGCATTTTTAAAAGTATAGAACATGAATATATCTTTAGTGACATCGGGCGTGTGTGAGTGTGTAAGCTGGGAAGAAGAAGGAACTGACTGAAGATTATTTTCTTTCCTCCTCTCCCTTTCCACCCCGTTTTGGGCTCCTAAACCTCATTATAACCATTTCTAGAAGTCTGGAGAAATAAAATGCAGCTGAACAGAGAATAGTTGGAAAATGGAAGCATCATATGTTGTCACGAGCCAGACCATTTGGGTTCAAATCCCAGTTCTGTTATCTAGCTGTGTGAACTGGGGCAAGTTATTTAATCTCCCCATGCCTTGGCTTCTTCATCAGGGAAATTATGTTAAAAATAGTGCTACCTCAGGCAATTATTGTTAGTATTGAATTTTTGTATTCTTGTTTTCAAAAGATTTTATTATTTATTTAACAGAGAGAAAGAGAGGGAGAGGGCTCACCAGCAGAGGAGAGGGACAAAGCAACAGGGAGAAGCAGATTCCCTGCTGAGCAGGTAGCACGATGTGGGACTCCATCCCAAGGCCCTGGGATCATGACCTGAGCCAAAGGCAGACATTTAACTGACTGAGCCACACAGGCGCCCCAGGGCTGAATTTTCTAATCTATGTGTAAACACCTAGAACTTTGCATGGCTCACAGTAAATGCTCTGTCTCAGTTGTGATTATTAGTGTTATTTATATTATCCGTGCACATGAAGTGGGGTGTTCAGAGGGAAAACAAATGAAATCTAGCTCTTCTTCTTCTTCTTCTTTTTTTTTTTTTTAGTTCTTCTTTTTGGACATTAAATGTCTCCAGCAGAAAAGCCTCATCTGGCACCATAGTCATTGTCTATTGAGGGAATGAGGACATGGTGAAGAGTCAAGGTGCCCCTTCCAGACTTGCGAGATATTGTCTCAGGAAGGGCTCCTACATGTAGCTCTACCCTCTGAAGGCTGAGATGCTTAACCAGGAATGGAACAGTCAGAAAAAGGCAATCTCTCAGCTTTTATTTATCAGATTTTTTCCTTCATGATTAATATTTAAGTTCTTCCAAGCTGAGAGTCATACTTGCTTTTAACAGAACAAAACACTTAAATATAATGAGCTTTCAAAATACAATGACTTTGTTTTTAACAACATGCTAGAATGTTAGTGGGAAGAATGTTTTGCTTTCATCCTACACAGAGAGCCAACAATAAAACCCCCAACACAAAGCCTTCCTTTCTGTTCTGTCAACAATAGACAAGTTTTTCTTTAGGTCTTTGATTGAAGTATAATATACACACAAAAAAGTACATATTACATATAAATGTAGAGCTTTGATGAGCTTTTGTAGACTGCACACAGCCACGTGACCAGCACCCAAATAAGAAACCAAACAATATCAGTTGCCCAAGATGCATCCTTCATATCTGTTGTCTACACCCCAGGGAAATCACTCTCCTGACTTCCAACAGCAGTAATTTGGTCTTTTATGGTGTTGTACTTTATATAAAAGCAATCATTATACTATGTACTCTTTTGTGTTTGGCGCTGTTCATTCAACATTGTGTATGTGAGATTCCACCACATTGTTATGAATGGTCAACTCCTTAACTGTAATTTTTATGATGGAGAAGAGGAAAGCATGCTCATTGAGAACTTTTATTGTATTTATAGTGTATTTTATTTAATCTGCCATGGATTTGTATTTATTCAATAGGTGCTGCTGCGAACCTCAGTGCCATGTTTCCAAGTGTTCTTTCAAGAACAAAAATCACATATGTGTGCGCTTTTAATCATAAAGCTATTTACATTTCAACTTACTTTGCCTTGTTTCCATCATCTTGTAGGTATAAAAACCAGGTGCCAATAAACGTCCATGCAAACCCTGGAAAATATATTATTGAGAGTCGATATGGAATGCACACTCTGGAGATCAATGCGTAAGAGGATATCAGGATCCATGTGTGTTGTGTGACAGTTGCCTGGGGAGGCATGTCAGCACTCCAGTTAACAACAGCTGTCCCCCTTTTTTCCCCAATGCAACATGATCACAAAGTGATCTTACGTTTGAATTTAAAGATGATGAGAAAAAAATTAACTTGTATTTTTTAGTTTATCCTTTTATATACTTGGGAGCTTTTCTTAGACATTAGTAAGAAAATAAGTTACATAAATAGGCATTTATATTTAGTTATCCTTCCACACTCCAAATCAATATCATCATCATCATCATCATCATCATCATCCTTTTTTTGCCTTAAATTAGCAAAGGCCATGGAGATTGTTGTGGGTGGCAGTGAAAGTAAGCTGCACTGGAATAAATTCTCTCCTTCAGTTCACCAGGAAGTGTGGGTAACTGCGCCCACCCTGTCAGCCTGCAGATGGAGGCAGGACTGGACTGAGATGTTTTTAGAGCAAAATCCATAGCAAAATTTCTAAGTCCTCAAACATTGATTGTATCTCCTAATATGGTTTTGAAATCCAAGCCTGGTTATGTGGATGAAAAAGTTAAGCTCATACCATGTTCAGTTCACATGGAACCATGACATGCTGAGATGTCAAAGTAAAATTTACATCATTCTTATCTAAATTCTCTCAAGAGAATTATAGCCTTCCCCTCAGATCAGAGCAGGTGGCACATGTGATACTGGGTTTCAAGCAGGACCGTGGGGTTCTGTGACATTTGCCAAACACCGACCTTGACCTAAAGTCATTTCAGTTCTGCCAGTGGATGATTCTGCTGAGGCTGCAGTGAGCTATGTGGTTGCTTTATAATTAAGTAGTTATGAGAAAGGCAAGCATATTGACCTTCCTGTAAAATTTCAATGAGAAGTTTTTACAAATGACACTAAATCCAGAAGGTCAATGAAAAACATAGACACCGGCGTGATAAGACACAAAACGACCTGCATTGATATCTTAGCTTGTTCATCATCTCCAGGAGATCATTCTTTCTCTTACTTATTAAACACATCCTAATTTCTGTATTATAACTTATAGGAACTTCCGAATAGCACTGCTATGTTGTGCTGTGGGCTGAAACTCCAAGTGTGACCTGAATCTTAACTGAGTTGAGAGATAAACACCATATTCGTACTTTGAAGCTAGAACACCGAACCACACATTAGACAGACCTGGATTCGGCTTATAGCTCAGGGAGGCTGTGAGAGTCCATAAAGAGAGGCTGTGTCTTTCCCTCCCTGTCGCCCTGTGGCCCCCAGACTGAAACTCTCCCTGAGTGAGGCCAGCAGGAAGGTTGTACCCCTGGGGTGCTCTGGGTAGTTACCTGTTCAGACATCTGCTCCTGACACCGCTTTAGACCAGTTGATCATAACACTGTGCTATAATTTATGCGCTTAATAGTTTATTGACATGTTTTGGGGACATGGGCTAAGGTCACAGTGGACTATAGGTATCCTCCTCCTATACTGTGCTGCTGGCCTGAAACTGTAGTAGTTATCTTGGCGTTGTGTGAAATCCCACAGAGGGCTAGATCAGAGTTTGCTTCAAAAATTCCCCAGGAGTCACGTGTTAGCCTATGATTTGCAGTGTGCCATGTTAGCAAAGAGATCCTTGATAGAACAGCTTATAGCGATGGTCACTCCTTTCCATCTGTTCTTTCAGATGTGATTTTGAAGACACTGCCCAGTACCGGGCCTCAGCGATGAACGTTAAAGGGGAGCTTTCAGCATATGCTTCAGTCGTGGTAAAGAGTAGGTTTGCTGGACTTGTTTTATTCAAAGTGTATTTTTAAAAAGTTATCCTCATTACTAAAAAATAAATCAGGGAGCAGTTCACATGCATTTCTGCTTTCTTTTCTAGGATATAAGGGAGAGTTTGATGAAACTCGCTTCCATGCTGGGGTTTCCACCCTGCCCCTCAGCTGTAAGTTTAAAAATATATTTGCTAAGTGTCATCCCTATTCAAAATACAGCAGAATAAGCCATTCTATAATGCTGTAACAAAAGGTAGGATTATTATAATATATGCTAGTATGTACATAATAGCTGTCTATGCTGGGTTTAATTTTTAGATTCTTTGATTACTATTCTCTTTCTGAGTATAACCATTTTGTTCTGGTTTTATAAAAGCCCAGATATGATGAACTAGAAGTGACAAGTACTTTTAAGTCTTTCTGTGTTAAACTGAAAAAGATCATTACACAAACCTGTATAGAGTGATTTAACCATGCACAACTGCCTTCCCCCCAAAGTCTGTATTGAATTATAGCATTCAGATCAGCATCACCTCCTAGAGAAATCCATGTCTGACTCTCACTGCATCCCTCCTCTCTCCAGTCAGGGTTGGGTGTCCCTGGTGAGACCACAGCACCTCCATCAGAAAATCCATTACACTGGACACCATTAACTATTATGGGTCTTTTTCTCCCACTGGCCTAACAACCGCTTGAAGGCAAAGCTGGACCTTTTATCTCTAAACCCCAGTGCCTGACTCAAAGTAGATGTTTGATAATGAATGAATAAATACATTAATTTGTGAAGTGCAATTTAAAATGAAGTCTAGAGGCGCCTGACTGGCTCAGTCAGTTAAGCGTCTAATCTCGATTTCAACTCAGGTCATGGTCTCAGGGTCCTGAGATCAAGCCCCGAGCTGGGCTCCACACTGGGCGTGGAGCCTGTTTAAGATTCTCTCTCCCTCTCCCATAGCCCCTCCCCCTTCACTCTTGGAAAATAAATAATTAATTAAATGTCTAAATGTGCTTTAATAACATCCTACTAAAAATATTCTGATCTGTGGCAATTTGTGAACTTCAATCATTTCACCCATATCAGAATATCTTTTCATAGGAAACAATAAAAGTAAAATTCTTATGGTTGTTCAAATAATTAGATGCTTATGGTGGTAAGACTGAAAAAGGTAGTAAAGCTTAAACTTATTTTCTGTACATTAAAAAATAAGTGATAGTTTTGAAAATGCTTGATGAAGGTACTTTTTCATGGGTCAGTTTTTCACCTTACTGGTTAGTTTGATGTCTGTAGATGACCTATCCCATCTTGGGATATTTAATATTTTAATATTCCAAGTTTTAATCTTTAGTATCAATGCCATGGGAGGAGATGATGGGCAGGAATGATGAAGAAACAAATCTCAACTCATGTTTTTCTCCTATCATTTGATGTATACTGGTACAGAATAGTTGAAAATCCTGAAACTATGACTTACCTCCCATTGTCTCTGAGCCTGGTTTATTAATCATTTACTTCACAATCATCTGAATGTATTCTGCTCATTCTCACTGCCATCATCATCCATATTTCTCCCATTTTTCTCTTCTCCATCGAGCTAGAGTCTAAAAGCCCAGCTCAGCCTTACTTCTCTTGCTTCTTAAATTTTGTCCAATTAAGATCTCCTCTAAGCTGGTCCCTGAGTTAGTACAGTTGTTCCCAACACACAAAAAAAACAGAGGACTTTTATTCATTTACTCAACTAATATTTATTGAGCATCTGCTATGTGTTAGGTACTGGTTTAGTTTTTGAAATATGCTGATAAATATCAGAAATAAAGCTCCCTGCCCTTGGTTCTGTTCCAGTAGTTAATATATGTTGATCAGTTGTACCAGAGCATACTAAGACATTTTGTTATATGCAATGATCATTTAATACTCTCCTAAAGCTTATAAAATAGATATATTTTACCTGTGCTATCCAAATGAAGAAATAGTTTTAGAGAGGTTAAATCATGAGACAAGACCCCCATAACGGTAGAGTGACTATAAGTTGGTCTTTCTAACTCTAAACCATATTCTATTTTTTTAAGGGAGTGAGAGAATCTTGTATTCTTTTTTTTTTTAATTTTTATTTATTTATGATAGTCAGAGAGAGAGAGAGAGAGAGAGAGAGAGAGAGGCAGAGACACAGGCAGAGGGAGAAGCAGGCTCCATGCACCGGGAGCCCGACGTGGGATTCGATCCCGGGTCTCCAGGATGACGCCCTGGGCCAAAGGCAGGCGCCAAACCACTGCACCACCCAGGGATCCCTGGAGTGAGAGAATCTTAAGCAGACTTCACACCCAGCATGGAGCCCGAGGCAGGGCTCAATCTCATGACCTTAAGATCATGACCTGAACCAAAATAAAAAAATGGACACTTAACCAACTAAGCCACTCAGGTGCCCCTCTAAGCCATATTCTAAAACAGGAGTTGGCATTTTCTGTAAAGGACTCTTGTAATTTGTAAACTATAATTTGTAAATTGTAAATACTTTAGACTGTGGGCCAGATAGTCTTTCTCACAACTACTCAACTCCACTATTGCAGCACAATAGTCACTGTAGACAGTAGGTAAATAGATAAGCATGGATGTATTCCAACAAAACCTTATTTATGAACATTGAAGTTTCCTATGACTTTGCACATGTCACAAAATATTCTTCTTTTGATTTTATCTCAGCTATTAAAAAATTGAAAAATTATTTCTCATGGTACAAAGCAAGAGGCAGTCTAGATCTGGCTCACAGTTTTGCCAAACCCCACCTAACCCTTATCTCTATTTTGTAATCCTTATCTTTACTCTATAAGGCAGCTTTGGAGCTAGCCCAGCTTCCCAGACAGCAAGGTCTGATCAAGTTGTTTCACTTTTGATCTCAGTGGGACATCATTATATAGAAGTGGGGCAGATGGAACCTTTGCCTCAGAGAGTTGTTTCACTATTAGTGGATGTCTGAGAAAACACAAATTCAAGGCAATATCATGTATTGCTTGAGAGCACAGGTTCTGGAAACAGCCTGCCAGTGTAAATCCTGGCTCTGTAGGGTCATTGTGGGCAGTTTTTAGCCTCCCTATGCTTCTGTTTCCTCATCTGTAAAACAGAGATGATAATGGAACTTAACCTGAGAGAGCTATTTTGAGGTTTGAGTTAATAGATATTTAGCACTTGGAACAATAGTTGGCACAGGTTGAACTCAATAAATTTTAGCTTGCATTTTCAAATTAATTCTAAGAAGTGTTAGGAAGAGAGATGAAAGATGAGAGAAAAGGCCTAAATTTTAGAGTCAGGCATCTGACTGGGTTTGAATATCAATTTCATGTGTAATGCTTTTTGAAACCTGGACATTAACTGTGTATTATTTTTTGTGAACTTCTACACTCTCATCTGAAAGAGAGGAAAAAATATATATGTGCTATAGGGTTTTTGCAAGGATTAGATGACATGTCAAGTTCAAGTACATGGAATGATAACCAATTAATTTAATCATTATTTTCCCAAACTCTTTTCTCTTGAGGAAAGAGAAAATAACCAGGGAAGGTTTGTGATGCAGGTATTTACTCAATTTATAAGCAAGATATTTCTAAGAAAAATATTTGTTATAGTCACACATTTTCAGTGTGACATTTCTTATAATTTTTTTTCTTACTCAGATTATTAAAGCCACTGAAGCAATAAATTTTTCCTATAAGTCAGAAAACTCTATTTTTATGAGTAATTGATATGGCTATTTGTCTGAAATATATTTCATAATATATTTGTGGAGGTTCTTATTTCTTGTCACAGCAGTTGAGTTTTAAATAAACTAGGAACCTAAAAAGTGCACATATTGTGCTAAGTATTTAAGTCTAAGCTAAATGTGATATTCATTTACATTCTATTTAAAGTATTAAGCCTGACCTTTAAATTCTATTCATTGCTATAATAAAAATAAACATTGAGCATATCTGACCAATGAAGCAAGAATTTCCATTTCACATCATAATATATGGGAATATGCTATGTACTTCTTTACAAGACTTAATTTTTGCCAAGATAATTCATTTGATCAGTGTTTGTTGTGACTGCTTATTACAATGCTAGTGTCTCTTTGATGAGAAAAAACAAATTACTGATGCTCTGATGCTTGTTTTTGTTGTACCCAGTTGCGGTGACCCCTTACGGTTATGCATCCAAGTTTGAGATCCACTTTGATGACAAGTTTGATGTGTCTTTTGGAAGAGAGGGCGAGACAATGAGTCTAGGCTGCCGTGTAGTTATCACTCCTGAAATCAAGCATTTCCAGCCAGAGATCCAGTGGTACAGAAATGGTGAGCCTTCATGATGAATTCTCACTTAGGTTCTTATTCACAGAAGTTGCTTATTCTGGGGCTGGCACCAGAACATGAGTGTCCCTAAGACTGCAGACCTATTTATCAAAACTGGCAGAATTTGGACATTAGAAGGCATAACCTACTGGATGTTGAAAAAGTTTTTGTAAAAAAAAAAAAAAAGAAAAAATTTTTGTACATACATCAAAGTAGCAGAATTTTCACAATATATTTGTGGAGGTTTTCATTTCTTGTCACCAAGTATTCTGTGGAAAAGATTACAAAATGCATTTTTGTAAATTACTTACATATTCATTTTATAAGTTAATTTTATTTAGTAAAATTAAGGGAAATCCACTGAAGTCCAGTGGGACTATGGAGCCTACCCCTTGACCCCTGGGCACGTTGGGCAAGGAGCCACAAGCTCAACAAGCAGTTGGCCTCAACTTCAGTTGTGCACACAGGCGCCTGGGGCACTCTGGAGCATCTGGGGCCAGACTGAAGCCAGTAATGGAAGCAGCACTGTGGATGGTGAACATGGCTCTAGGAAGAGGAGGGGCTCCATGTGGGAGCAGCATGGGAATCTATAGTCAGAGCTTGCCAGCCTGCCCCTCCTTCCCCAGAACTCATTTCTATGGGATCTGCACAAATACTAAATACTAACCTGAGCATCTAGACAGGAACTACTGGCAACCAGGTGGTAAACTTTGTCAATAAAATATTACAAAATAAAAGCATGTATACAGACATTGCAGTACAGCGTATGAGGCAGTTGTTGGAATTCTTCAGAGTTTAGAATCCCTGGTTTTGAAAACTGCTATAACTGCACAGCAGATATTCAGAGGCTTAAAAATATAAATTAAGCTTAAAGATTGTCGCATTCAATGAAAAAGAACACTATTTTCATATGAAACTGTGGATGAAGCAATAATAAGGGAGATAGTTTTAAAATCAATTTTTCCTTGTAATTTAAGATACAGTAATAGAATGCATAAACAGACATTTGGATTATATCATATCAGTATATCATTTTCAGTCTCTTGTATAACTTCCATAAGTCACAGAGCATGCTAGGAAAAATATCAAAATATTATTATGTAAAATTACATTTAAAATTGAATTCAGACTTATGTGAAACTGTTCTATAGGGAGTCATAGTTTTTTAGAAAGTTTGTTCCTTAAGAACATTAGCTTTAGAGTACTAAAATTTATATTTTGAAATAATCTATCAGAAGGTTAACCCAATGTTAATTTTATAAGAATTTAACTATATAATATTATAACTATGAAATATCTTAACAGTCGCAGTAACAGTTGCATCAGCAGAAAGATCCTTCTCAAAATTAAAAATTTTCAACTCATTTCTGGTCTTGCATTTGCAAAGAGTGACTGAGGTTACTTTCTTTTTTTTTTTTTTTAAGACATGTATTTGAGGGGAGGTGGGGGGGAGGTGCAGAGGGAGGAGAGGGACAAGCAGACTCTGCCTGAGTGCAGAGCCCGTTGTGGGGCTCAATTTCATGACCCTGAGATCATGACCTGAGCAGAAATTGCAAATTGGCCACTCAGCCGATGGAGCCATCCAGGTGCCCCTCAATTATATCGACTTAAAATGAAGTTGCCAAAAGTATAAATCTGATGACCTAATAACCGAATTTGCAGAAAAGCAAGCCAGAAATATCTTATTATCCATCAAGATATTACATTAATAAAAAATTGTTTTGGTATATAAAATTATGGCCTGAAAATATTATTTTTTTGTAATTTGTGTTACCCCAATCATATTTTATATGTAGTAAAATATTTTTTAGAGGAAAAAGCCTTATACTTTAGTACCTGTAATTGTATTTTTTTCTCTGCTTTTTGAACAGGAGCTTTGCAATTTCATTTTGCCCTGGACTCTGCAGATTATGTATCTGATCTTGGTTCCATCACTTTTGATATAGTATTTTTTACCAATGTAAGCATGGCAGGATGACTCAAAGCCTAGAGACTTCCACTAACAGTCAAATAGTTTTCAATATAGAAGAAGAGGCAGAGAGGGGCACCTGGGTGGCTCAGTGGTTGAGCGTCTGCCTTTGGCTCAGGGCCTGATCTGGGGTGGGGTCACAGGATTGAGTCCCGCATCGGGCTCCCTGCATGGAGCCTGCTTCTCCCTCTGCCTGTGTCTCTGCCTCTCTCTGTGTGTGTCTCTCATGGATAAATAAATAAAATCTTTAAAAAAACAAAGAATAAGAAGAAAAGGCAGAGAGAGAAGGAAGGAGGGAAGATGGGTGGAAAAAGAAAGGAGCAATGGGGGGAAAATTCAGTTAATTTTCTTACTTTTTAAAAAAATTTCTAGGAGCACCTGTTTCTCCATCCAAATGGGTGCAAACACATTGGAGCGGAGATCGAGCCACACTGACATTTTCTCATCTCAACAAAGAAGATGAAGGCCTCTACACAATCCGCGTACGAATGGGAGACTATTATGAACAATATAGCGCCTATGTCTTTGTCCGAGGTAAGACCTACCAAAAAGCAGAATACCTAAGAATGTTTAAAACACCGAGGCCAAATCAAGTTATTCAAACACGGTTTTCATAATGATGAAAAAACATTTGAAAATTCTTCCAGAACATGGCATAGGGTTATTAACTTCCAGTAAAATTCTACCTAGTATAAAAAGGTTAACCCAAAGGCACCGACCCAAAGGTAATGAGTTTCTGGACTGTGTTACTATCACTAGTGATAGTACCTTCCTTATCTTCAGGGATCACCAGGGCAGCTCTCTACAGGTGTTCGAGTAGAGACACTACACCCTAACAATACAAGAAGCCATTTCAGTTTATGGAAGCTGCAATAAAAAAGTGATGTGCAACTGGGGGACTTTTTGATTTCTATTTCAGGGAGCAAATTTATTATTTCACTCCAGACCCCTTCTTTATAGTTTCACCTTTAATGATCGAGGAAACAAAGTGCTGCAACCTACTCCTTAAGGCAAGCCGTTTAAGTGTGTTTTAGCAGTCTTCAGCTGTATCTTGAATGGATTGGATGTATAGGGTGGGAATGTTATTGCTACATGGGATACCAGCACATTTGGAAGACCACTGACACTTTCAAGCTATAGAGGCAGTGCTCTGTGTTCTCTTCTGTGATGGTTAGTCAGGTATGGCCACAAGAGGAGACACAGGAGAGGCTCAGGAAGACAAAGTTCATTACACTCACAGGTTTTAGAGACAAGGAGGTACAGCACACCACACAGGGCCACATGAGGAAATATCAGCATAGGTCCAGTTGGTCAGGAGGCAGAAGGGGCAAGAGGGAGGGGAGAGCTTAGGCCATGGCTTTTATTGAAATTTGTGGGAAAGGCAAGGTAGTTCCAGATAAACAGTTTAGGATGGGCTAGTTTGAATAATTTTGGTGGACTCTAAGCTATAGGGCCTGCTACCTGGCCCTGGGATGATTAAGGCAAGGGAATATTGCCTCCTGGGGTGCACAGGCCAGATAGAGGAGGTGTGGCTCTGGATTGGTCAATTTTCATATCAGTGTCATGCTCCTGGCTGAGCCTTTGCTATCTCCAAGAATTAGCTAGCCCTGGGAGGGACAGTGTCTCCCCAGTCAGAAAGGTTCTTAAAGTGACAAGACATCATAATATACAGAAAACTAAAATATAAGCAATACAGGAGAGTTACTAATTTTTAAAAATCTCTTGTGCACTAAATAGAATCATAAACTCATAGGAATTTTTATCAAAATGGAACTTTAGAGGTCAGGTGTCCTTAACTGGGATCCACAGACTCCCAAAGGGTCTAAGATTAGAATTGTATTTTGATATCTTTAGTTTCTTTGGCAATCTCATGTATTTTATTTTATGCGTTTGAAAGCATTATTCCAAGAAGGGGCCTCTAGACCTTCTTTGTCAGTTGGCCAAAGGAGTCTATAGCACAGAAAAGTTGGGATTCCCATTCTGGTCTAACCCTTTAATTTTAAGATGCAGAAAGAAACTGAGGTTCAGAAAAATAAAGCTTCACAGTTAGTTAAAAGAAGTAGACCGAGGATACAGGTCTTCGGATGCCTCCCCCAGGATTTTAATTAGGGTATAGGCTAAGCTCCTGAAATGAAACAAAACAGTTTTTATTTCTCTCCTATGTCTATCAATGCAGAAATAGGGGTGTAGTTCAGAGTCCCAGGTCCCATCTACACTGTTATTCCACTGGCCCCATGGTTCTCTCCCATGTTCCCATCCCAGCCCATGGGAAGAGGAGAGAAAGGAACTGGAGGGAGAGATGCAGAGTTGTATACATCACTTCTGCATGGTGAACACTTAGCCACATGGACTTATCTCACAGTGAGGGAAGCTAGGGTGTTACGTGTCCAGTTGGGCAGTCATGTTGCCTGCTAAAGCTGGGGCTTCTAGTACTAAAAGGAAACAAGAAACAGGGATACTGGGGACAGTTAGCAGTCTACATACACCCACAGTGAACAGTAACAATTGTTGAACTCTGCCCCAGAACAACAACTGATAAAGACACGTGAATATCTACATCTTCTGAAAATGTATCAGATTTTCTCCTGCACAAAAGTATTGTGGGAAAATATCACTGAGGGAAGAGAGATGCTAGGCTCTGGAAAAATCTTCACAAAGATGGACACACTGAAACTCATCAGCAAGTAAGTTTGTTTAGACAAACCATCTGGATAAACCTGGCTAAATAAGGACTGAATAAGCAAAGCCTTTGCCTCTGCTCTCAGTTGCCTTACCTAAACTGGGCAGTGTCTCTAGCGACTCAAGAAAAAAATCCCACAATTATGTCATGGTGATTCTTTTGTGGACTTTTTCTGGGAACTTTGACACAGTCTAGGGTTTTCTCAGTAACATTTCTCAGCACCTGTATCCAGAATTGTGGCTCTCTACCAGTAGGCCAGGATTCCCATATACTAACTGTAGACAGGGAGAAGGCATTGAAATTTGAAATTTAAACTTACACTAGTTTTCAAATCCACAAAATAAGGAAATGGAAAGACTCTAAAATTTACCAGATGTTGGTATGAGAGAATTGAGAAGATAAATGGGAAAGACAAAATTGGAAAGATAAATTTCAATAATTGTTTTGTGAGCTTAAGAACCATTAGAAAAATATTTCACTTGTAAGTTTATTTTAAATGATATATTTTAGATTCTTCTTAAAAAACTTTTTAAAGGTATACTTGCTAAACCACAAGATTCACCTATGTTGAGTGGATAGTGCTTTTAGAACATTTACAGAGTGTGCAACATCATGTACAGTCCAGTTTTAGAATATTTCCATCACCCCCAAGAGATTTCTTGGCCCATTCCCCACTGTAATCCTCAGACTAGCCTGTAGGCAACCACTAACATACATTGTGTTTCTGTTGGCCATCTCTGGACAATTTCTGGTTATAGTATTTGGACTTTTACATCTATCTTCCTTCATTAAAATGTATGTTTTGAGGTTCATTTATGTTATAACACATATTAGCAGTTTGTTCCTTTTTATTGCTGAGTATTGTGATGTATGGATATACTTCATTTTGTCCATCCATTCACCAGTTGGATAGTTGGATTGTTTCCACTCTTTGGCTATGATGAATAATGTTGCTATGAACATTTGTGTTCATATTCACGGATGTATGTTTTTATTTCTCTTGCGTAGAGACCTACAAGTGGAATTGCTGGGTCATATGTTAAGTTTATGTTTAACTTTTTAAGAAATTGCCAGCATATTTGTTTTTTTTTTTTTGCAAAGATTTTATTTTTAAGTAATCTCTACACCCAACATGGGGCTCAAACTTGCAACCCCCAGATCAAGAGTCACATGCTCCACCAACTCAGCCAGCCAGGCAACCCAAGTAATTGCCAACATGTTTTAAATGACACTTTATGTGTTTTATAAAACTCTGTATACATTGCACTGCTTGAAGCCATTTCAGTGCATTTTTAGAGCTCTGATATTTTTACTGCTTAGAACATAGCTTCTGAACCAGAAAAATCAATGTATGAAGCACCATATGTCTGCAGAAATGCATTCTAGAGCTGTACGTATTTGGCTGGGATTTTATTACGTAGGTAATATGTGTTCTTTGTGAAAAAAAATAGATCATATAAATAAGCAAAAAAAAAAAGAAAACAAAACAAAAAAGCTTTCCAGTCTTATTATTTTATTACGTATTCTTCTAGACGTCTATATTTTATATATTCTTCCCTCTCCCACCCTCTCCACCACCTCACAGAGGGAGAGAGGTGATAAAATGGTAAAGGACAGGATAGAAATGTCATGAAAAACAATTACAAATGACAAATATATGAAAAAGTTTTCACTGGTAATCAAACAAAAATTGAAATGATATAACATTTTGATCTATCATATTGTAAAGATTTAAAGGATTTTAAAATCCATTGGGATAAAGGAATGAAGGGAATAGCACTGCTGTACATTGCTGGTAAGTGTTAATTGTTTAAACTTTTCTTTTTCTTTCTTTCTTTTTTTTTTTTTTGGTTTCAACTTTTCTAAGGATGTTATGCTACTATATAGCAATAGTGCAAATTTCTACCAATTCTAGTTCTAGGAACTTAACTGGGCAAAGGGGAGAAAAATGTTTGTACTGGGAAAAACTAGAAGAAATCTAGATATCCACCCATGGGAGTTGTAAAATAAAGTATAATAAATGCCCCATGTAAAGGATGGAATACCACACAGCAATGAAAAAAATTATGCATATCTGTATTTATTGATATGGAAATATATTAACATGAAACTATATAGTCTGGTCCCATTTTTATTTCAAAAATAATCCCTTTTGAGTTCATACATACAGAAAAAAATCTAGAAAAATCTAGGCCAATAAGTTAGTATTTATCTCTGAATTGTGGAATTAAAAGGGATTTTAACATATAATTTTGATTATCATGTTTTATAGGCATGCACTGCTTTTATAATAAAGGTAATAGAGTTACTTACATTTCAGAAAAATTTATTATTAGCTTGTGTCATAAGTCAAAATATAAAGAGTAGCAGGCTAATCTTTCACCTAATTAATAAAACCTACAAAAACTTTGGCTTTTTGAAGAGTTGGGAGAAGGAAGGGCACAGGCTGAGAAGGTTGCTGCTGACCAAGTGGGCACTGTGGTCAAGCATTCTAGAGCAGTTGCTGAGAGCCAGGAGCACAGATGTGTTGTAACATAACACAATATTTGGACTTGGCTTCCAGCAGCTTCTATATGGAACCTGTTTTTTGAAAGACTATCAAGTGTACCCCAAGGATGGCATAATCCAAGCAATGTTATAAATATGCTGAAAATGGCTCCCTAGATGCCTACTGTCTGCCAGGCTTTCTTATATACAATGGATATTCAGCAAACTAAACTCTGCTCTCTCCACTCAAGGATTCTTGGTTGTTTCATTATGGGTTTAGCAAAAGGACATGGGTGGAGGTTACCAGCTGTCTCTTCCCATCTGAGCGGCTTTCCAGCACCCCTCCTTTGCCACTTTGGCCTGTTAACCTCAGCATCTCTAACCCTTTTTGGCTCTGCTCTAACTTCACCATCAGCAGGCTCTCCCCCATCCAGTTCTCTCAAAGCTTGAAAGGAAAGATGTTTCTCCTTGCTTTTAGGCACCATGATTTGTACATGTTCTTGTACAGCACTTATGCCAGAAAAATTGCCTAAAACACTTTCCTGAAGATTCATGGGACAAGAAACAGAATATTCAAAACCAGAGTGACTTGAGCTCTTCAGAGGCAATGCAAACCTATCAAATTCAGAAGTGCACAAATATCTCTGCCTTATTATCTAATGGTTTAGAAATTCATAAGAGTTACAGAAGTATAGCTCATTATAAAAGAAAGTGTTTATTCAGTCAACAGAAGTGTTTTCCCTGAGCTGAGTGGCTCCAACATGTCTCAGCCTTGTCTCCTGTTAACTCTGGTTACAAAAAAGTTGACCAGAGGTCAGGAGGAATTGGCAATGGGGACCCCACCTCCAGGAACCCTGCCTATCACTTAAAAGGCTCTTAACAGATTATTTCCATTCCCCTTGCTCTCCCCCTGAAAACATCCCTGGTTCACTAGCTGTGCCTGAAGACACTGCTGAGACTGTCAGAGGATCCCATTTCATAAACAATCACTGTCCTCTCTTTCTTGTATAATCCTGGACTTCTCCTAAACTTGGATCAACTAGGCTCAGATGTGGATATTGCATCAGAGTTCCTTTCACAACTATCTTCAGTCTGGGAACAAACATTTGATAAAAGTGAATGTTTTCCTTTCTCTTCCAAAGAGGGAGTGCCTGGCAGAGGGATGGGCAGAGCTTCATGGTTTTTATTCTCTTGTGGATGCATCCACAAGGTGATAGAAGTGGCTATTTTTTCCCCTACAGAGGAATTCGTATTTCTGAGTAACACTATACAAAAGATATCTTAAGAACAGACTTTCTGGCTCAGCTTCCCCTTAGATGTTTTTGATAGTGATTCCTGACATCTCCATACTTATTTTCCTTTAGAACATTTTGGGCAGGCAAAGGCCATGAGGGTAAGGTCATGGGTCCTTTTTAGAGCCCTTTCTAACATAATTTTTTTTGTACTGATGATGAAAAGCAGACATTGTCAGGTTCGTAGGCAGATTCGAAGATTGAAGCTTGATGTACTTAAGCCAAAGATGTAGCCACTGTGGATGTGGTAAGAAATGTGTGCACAAAGTCCTGAATTGCCAGACTGTGATGGATCTTGTCTGAGAGGGTTAAAGGGATCCTTCTGTATCTCCACAGATGCTGATGCAGAGATTGAAGGAGCTCCAGCCTCTCCCTTGGATGTTGTGTCCTTGGATGCCAACAAAGATTATATCATCATCTCTTGGAAACAGCCAGCTGTGGATGGAGGGAGTCCTATCCTGGGATATTTTATTGATAAGTTAGTACTTGGTCTAGTTTCAGTTTGAGTGATTTAGGCATAAAGATGCATGCTTGATTTCTTCCACCATTTCTACATGAAATATTTTCTGGTTTCTTCTCCCTCTTTCTTTGTCTCTGTCTCTGTCTCTGTCTTTGTCTGTGTGTGTGTGTGTGTGTGTGTGTGTCTCACACACACACACACACACACATCCCTATCTATTGACCTAAATTCCAAAGATAATTTTCAGTTTGACTACCAATGCAAGTCACTAATTTGGCAAGAATGCTATGAATTTGTAGACCGTATAGAGGCCAGCTTATTAGAAACAACTAATGTCCAATATATTTAATGTCCACATTCCTAGTATGTCAAGTAAATTTAAAGTATTAAGTAATTTAAAGAATCATACTTTAGGAATACTAGCAATGTCTTCCTTATAGGATGTGGTTTAAAGTTAGACAATGAAATAACAATTATCAGTAGTATTAAATTATGTTCTTTCTACAAATTTTTGCTATTTACATTCTCCAAAACCTAGAACCTCTGATATTTATAGTAACTGGGTCTTACACATTAATTATCCAGTGAGTTTGGACAATATAGACAACAAATTTAGACTATCAACCTAAATACATTATTATCTAACTTAGTTTCTATTCAAATAGTTGCTCCAATTCTCTTTCCATTTTTCAGTAATAGAATCTAATTTTAGATACCACTAGGGACAAATAATCTGTGCCACCATGGTACAACAGATTTGTACCAAGGTGTATTAAACCTAATATTTGTGGTAATAAGTAAATATATGCCCGTTGGGCTCAATACCAGAGAAATATTTATAACATATCATATACCACTTAATAATATACTAAATACTTGCACACTATTTTGTCATTTAGTAATGATGAACTGTGAAGTTTTAGGTAGATTCTTTTTCATTTTTATAGACTGCCTTATTGTCTTTGGCAGATTTTCAAGGGATTTGCAAACTTAATCAGTCTAAGACCAGGGACAATCAGAAGTACATTTTGCTTAATCATGTTAAAAATAACCATATTATGACTAAGATTTATTAAACATTGGTTATGTGCATGACACTGTTCTAAATATATCACATATATTACCCATAATCACTGTTTGAAAGGTAGATACTCTTATTACGAGTAGGAAACAGTAGCTGGCCCAAAGCCACATGCTGGTGAGAAAACACTAAGTTGCCTAAAGTCACACAGTAAGTAGCAGAACTAGAATTCAAATATCAGCCTGGCCATATGCTTGTGTTCTTTCTGCTCTAACAAGTTGTAGACATCTCCAGAGCAGCTACTTTCCACCTTTCTTTCAGCCCACATGAGGGTTGGGAAACACGCTATAGTATCACTGGGTCACTGTGACCATCTGCATAGGGAGAGAGGGAGAATCTCTGGAGACAGGGGCAGTTTGAAGAATTGTCCTAGGCCTCTCAGCTCCCTCCCATACCCTACTCATAATAGCTTCAGAATTTTTACAAAGGCAAGATTTAAGGTTAGAAGGCAGGGATGGAAGCCATATTTGATAGCACTTAACATAAGGTTGAGGAAATGTCCATTGTCTGTAAGAATGGAAGGGTGAGACTGAGGACACAAAGAGAAACCTCTTGCCCTGACCACCTTTGCCCTGACATTGAAACCCCCTCCTACATGCGACTTATTTGGGAATTAGACATTTTAGATATAGAGCCATGTTGGGGAAGTGACATAAACTAAAAGTTTGGTGCTCTACCCATTAAAATGGATGAGTTACTTAATCCTAATGCCAATAATTAAATCACACACTGAGCCCCTAACCCCTGTCAATCAGGCCATTAGCATAATATGAGCTGCCATCTTTATCTCCCAGCATGTGACCACTCCACCCCAACTGCTGTAAAAGCATCTAGTTAGAAATCAAAAGTACCAAGACCATAATCTCTCCCAGCCAGGCCTGAGAGTTTCCCTGCATCTCATCAATTTCATCTGTTAAGAAACAAATATATTACAATACTCTCCTTACCCTTCTACTCACACAGCATGTAATGAGCATTGAGTGGGCTCTTTTCAGTGGTGCCTGGCTGGCTCAGTCAGCAGAGCATGTCACTCTTGATCTCAGGGTAATGAGTTTGAGCCCCACATCAGATATAGTGATTACTTAAGAAAAAAAGTGAGCTTTTTCCAAACTACAGTATACGTAAGTATATTTAAGATGTTAGCTTTCTCAAAAAGAACTTTTATTTATTTTTTTAAAATTTTATTTATTCATGAGAGACAGAGAGAGGGAGAGACAGACATGGGAGGCAGAGGGAGGGGCAGGCTCCCCTTGGAGCAGAGAGCCTGATGCGGTGCTGGATCCCAGGACCCCAGGATCACAACCTGAGCTGAAGGCACACGCTCAACTGACTGAACCACGCAGGTGCCCCCAGTAGTTTTATATTTGAAAGAAAGTGCATAAAGAAGACAAAGAAAGAAGTCACCAGTGGTGGAATTGAAGACGTCAGCCAGGGAGATGTTTGGGGAATCCTCCCCTTCAGTCTCTCCAGTGTAAAGCTGTATATACTTACCTGTTGCTGCTTCTGTTTTTTTTCCCCCAAATTCTCCTGCTTAGCACACCAGGCCCCTCAGCTGCTTGCTTTTAGGGAGTTTAAAGGAAGTATGTGTGTTTAGGAGGGATCTGAGGCTTCTTTATTATTCATGAGGAAGTACTGCAATCCAGTGGAACTGAGTGCTTGCAATTAAGTAACTATTGAACCACACTTGAGCTAGGTATTTTATAGGGAGATCTGAAGCACTTGGGTGGGTTTGCAGCTTTGGAGGTATTCATTTAGACATACTACTTTTAATATTCTTGCTGACCGCTCTCTTTCCCTCAGGTGTGAGGTGGGCACAGATAGCTGGTCTCAATGCAATGACACACCTGTAAAGTTTGCTCGTTTTCCAGTCACTGGGTTGATAGAAGGTCGTTCTTACATATTTCGAGTTCGAGCTGTGAATAAAAATGGAATAGGTCTACCATCTAGAGTTTCTGAGCCTGTGGCTGCTCTGGATCCAGCTGAGAAAGCACGACTTAAAAGTAAGCATTTTTCAATTTTCTTTTCTTTTTTTTGTAACTACACTAGAACTCGTTGCAAGGTTATTCCTCCCCCTTCCACTAGAGGGAGAAGAGAATAGGAAATCCTTTATCCATCAGAAAATCCTAGGGAAAAAAAAAAAAAAGAAGAAAATCCTAGGGGAAAAACAACCAAAAACAAAAAAAAATTTCTTTTTTTTTTGACTCATCTCTTCACTAAGGGCTGTCTTATTTTAATTTGATTCAAAAAATTTTCTTTGTAAAACAGAGCTCTGGGCATTCTATTTGAAAGGAAATATGATAAAAGCCTAGGAAGCATTTTTATTCATTTTATTAGCACACCACAAATATACTTTTCTTTTCGTTCTTAAAATTATAAGGTAAATTTCCTAACTTAGAGTTTGCCCATTAGAGCATTAATATTTCAACACAATGAGTTTCTTTATATCAAAATAAAAATGCATTTATGACATATCTCTATACTTGAGTTACCATATTAGACAGTGAAAAATCTTTTCATATATTTAAACTCCAATTCTTAGTGTCAAAACCATGGTACATGAATTATGCTTTGCGTTTGTTTTGTGGGAACCCATATGCATCCTCAGTAATAGAGACCATTAAATGACATTAAAAGATTATTGGAAATCAACACTTCAGTCCATACCAGATTTTTCAAACTTGACCCTATAGACACTTGAGGTGTTAATTATTTGTCGTAAGGGGCTGTTCTGTGAACTATAGAATGTTTAGAAGCATCTCTGGCTTCTATCCACTAGATATCAATAACGCTCCTTCTCCCCCCATTGTGACAATCAAAATTGTCTCCAGATATTAGCAGATGTCCCTGAGGGGCAAAATTACCCTAGTTGAGGACTACTGGTCTATGTCATACTCAGTGTTATTCTTTACCTTAAGTACATGTATGGCATCATAAAAAACTAAGTAAAATATCTTTTCTCTGGAGACTTTTTCTAATCAAGTTCTTTGATTGCCCTCTATTTTTTGCTTACTATCTGACTTCCCTCCCTTTTTCCTAATTCCAGCTCATTTCATTTATTCCTCTTTTATAAATTCCAATGAAAATAAGACTTGTTTGCATTAAAAATAGGCTATCTTGCATATCACCTGTCTGTTTTTGTACAAACTGTGGTGGAAATTTGTTGCTAATGTAGGAGTTGAACCATTCTCTTTCTGTTACTAATGAGAATACAGAAATGAATTTCTTCTTCAATGAATAAATGAATTAAATGAATTTAAATGGATTTTCCTCTTTTCCTGCCCATCTCACCCATTTTCCTTACTCTAGATCTCAACTGGTTTCCTTTGTAGATAACACTTTTCAAAATATAATGGAAAGAAATTGCTTTCATTGAACTGTACTATAGGATTAGCTCCCATTTCCTCTTTCAGCTTCATTATTGCAGATACATAACTACTGGGCTTGCAGTTGTTCCAGAAACATTTCCCCCAAATACATGTTATCTCATAAAAAGAGATGAGAGAACTTACATGTTTCCAGAGGTCTATATTGAGCAGTAAGTGAACATAGGTGATTTACCTTACTTGTGAAAGTACAATTTCAGAAATGTTGGCTTCGAATAGATGGGCTCTGTTCTCTAACAGATTGTGAGTTCCTTGAAGACCTTACATCATGTACATGCTCAGTAAGATTCATTAGGAAAATATTGTAAGTAAACTAGTATCAAACCCATTTGTGACTATTATGGCCAGTTTATGAGTGCAGTTGGAACTGCATTTATGAATTTTGTGACCTTTACATTTCTCTCTGTTCAGGTCGCCCTTCAGCACCGTGGACTGGGCAGATCATTGTCACTGAAGAGGAGCCTACAGGTAAAAACTCAGTTTTTCCCAGATACTATTGCCAATGTTTTGCCATGCGGTTTTGCCTTTTTTTGTGGAGAGTACAGGGTATATTATTTAAGATGTTTTGGAAGGAACATTCTGAAATATTTGGAGATCATAAAGTAACTTATACTTTCAGAGAATCACTTTTTTAAAAACAAGGTTTATTGACGTGCAATTGACATAGAGTAAACTGATATCCATAAAATATACAATTTGACAAATTCAACATGTGTATACCCCTGTGAAACTCTCGGCCATGATCAAAAAAATGAATATATCCATCACCCCTAAAATTTCCTCTTGCCTCTTTGTAATTCCTTTCTCCTAACTCTGCCCATCTCCAGGCCATCACTGATGTGCTTTATGTCACTCTAGTTTGTATTTTCCACACTCTTAGATAAATGGAATTATACTCATTTTCCTCTGGTTTTCTTAAACTCAGCATAATTATTTTGAGATTTATTCATGTTGATGTATGTATCAGTTCATTTCAATTTTTTATCCATTTACTGTCAAAAGCTTCTGTGATCATCCTTGTTAAAGTGTTTGTATGGACATACACTTTCATTTCTCTTGGATAAATACCTAAGAGTTGGACAGATAGGCCATATGATAGGTGTATATTTAAATTTTTTTTGGTGTATGTTTAATTTCTAAAGAAACTGTCAACTGTTTCCAAGATGTTTGTACCATTTTACATTCCCATTAGGAACATGAGAGTTCCAGTTCCTCCACATTTTGTCACCAGTAGTGGTATTTCATAGTGAGTGTAGTGATCTTACTTGGTATTTCCCTAATACTGTTGGCTGTCTTTTTATGTGCATATTGCCATTTCTGCATCATATTTAAATCTTTGCCAAATCAAGTTTACTTATTTTTCCTGTTTTTTTCTAGAAATGTTACAGCATTAACTCTTAGATTTCAATCTATGCTCCATTTTAAATTTATTTTTCTATATTTTGTGAAGTAATGGTCTAAGTTGTCATCATTATTATCATGATCATTTTGCATATGGCTATCCAATTGTTTCAGCAATCTGTTCAAAAGATTATCCTTTTCCCATTAAATTGCCTTGGCATATCATCAAAATCAATTGCATATTTGTGGGTCTATTTCTAGAATCTCTGTTGGTCAATTTTATTTTCTCTACACCAACTACACTATCTTGATTACTATACCTTTAGGTTGTTGTTGCTGTTGGTTTTAAAAGCTTCATAGTTTTAAATAAGTAAAGAGACAAACAAAATTTTTAAAAAATCTTCATAGTTTTGAAATTAGGTAGTATTAGTCCTCAATTTTTTTTTCTCCAAAGTTGTTTCGACTATTTGCATTTCCACATAAATTTTAACATCAGCTTATTAATTTCTATAAAAAACCTACTGTGATTTTAACTGCGTGTTTTATATCCTCAATAATTTTCTATCTACTTGTTCTATCAATTGATAGAGGAATGATGAAATCTCTGACCAAATAGTAGATTTATTTTTTCTTCTTGCAGTTCTACCAGATTTTGCTTCATATTGTTTGAGGCTTTTTATTACATGTAGTAGCGTTTTAATTATTTTATCTTCTTATGAATTGACTGCTTTGTTATTATAAAGTGGCACTCTTTATCCATGATAATGTTTTTTTGCTTAGAAATCTGCTTTATCTGATACTATTATAATCATTCCAGGTTTTTTTCTTTTATTAATGTTAGCATGACATATGATTTCCATTCTTTTACTTTTTATGTATGTGTGTCTTTATTTTTTTTTTTTGTATGTGTGTCTTTAAATTGCATTTCTTGTAGGCAGCATGTAGTTGGGTCTTGATTTTTTTTATTCAGTTGGGTAATCATTGCCTTTTTATTGGAGTGGTTGGAGAATTTATATTTTGTGTGATTATTGATAGAGCTGGATTTAAATCTATGATATTGCTATTTTTCTATTCCATCTGTTTCCCTTCTTTTTTTTTTAACTTTCTTTTGAATTGATTTTTTTTTATTATTCCATTTTTAGCTATGCTATCTTATTAACTATAATTCTTTGTTTTGTATTATGGTAGTTTGGAATTTTAATAGACATCTTATCACAACCTTTTTCAAGTAATATTATACTACTTCATGTATAGTGTAAGAACTTAAAACAGTGTTATTCCATTTCCCCTTTCAAGCCTTGGTGCTGCATTGCATAGGTTTTATTTGCATATATATCATAAATTACACATACAGTGTTATTATTTTGGGTCAAATAGTCACTTATTTTTCAAAGAAATTAAAAAAACCAAACAAACAAAAAAGATATTTAAAGGTAAGAAAAAACTTTTCAATATTCACTCACATTTTTATCGTTTCTATTCTTTCTTTCTTTGTGTGGATCTGGATTCCCATATGATATCATTTTCTTTGTACCTGAGGCATTTTCTTTGCTATTTCTTGTAGTGCAGGCCTGCTGGTTATGAATTATTTTATTTTTTGTATGTCTAAAGCAGTCACTATTTCATCTTCATTTCTGAAATATATATCTTCATTGCTTATAGAATTCTAGATTTCAATACTTTAGAAAGGATGGTCCATTGTAGTGCAGTATCTGCACTGTAAGAATGACTATTGTTATTCTTATTTTTGTCCCTCAGTACATGTCTTTTTCTCTTTACCTGTTTTTAATAGATTATCTTTATCACTGGATTGAGAAATTTGTTTGTGATATGCATTTGTGTTGTTTCCTTCATGTGTCTGTGTTTGGGGTATACAAGTTCCTTGGATCTGTGAGTTTTTAATTTTTATCAGCTTTGGAAAATATTTCACCATTATTTCTTTAAACATTTTTCTTTTCCTGTATCTCTGCTCTTCTCTGCTTCAGGAGCTCCAATTACATGCCACTTGAAACCACAAGTCACTGATGCTGTGTTCCTTTTCCATTTCAGTCTTTTTTGCATTCTGTGTTTTATTTCAGACACTTCCTATGTCTGTGTCATAATTTTACTATCCTTTTCTTCTTCAGTGTCTAACTTGCTGTGAATTCCAGTGTATGGGTTTTGTTTTGTTTTGTTTTCAAACTTTGTAATTTCTATCTGTAGAAGTTGAGAACAATTTGTATTATTTTATGTTTTCCATGTCTTTAACATATTTAATTTTACCCTCTTGAACATACAGAATATTTTTATAATAACTTTTTATATACTTATTGGCTAATTCTATAATCTGTGACATTTTTAGTTTTGTTTTCATTGATTGATTTTTTTTTCCTTCAGAAAGGGTTGTATTTTCTTGCTCCTTTGTATATTTAATAACTTTTCACAAGATGCCAGACATTTTGAATTTACATTGTTTGGTGCTGGATATTATTGTATTTTTATAAAAGCTCTCCAGCTTTGTTCTGGGGAAACGATTTGACCTTTCAAGGCTTGCTTTTGTTAAGTGAAATCAGAACAGACTTTAGGGATAATTTGGCCATACTACAGAGACAATATCCTTCTGAGTAGCACTCCACTAGATGCCTGTGAATTTTAGGAGATTTTCACTCTGATTCATGGGAATATGGACTCTCCCAGGCCCTATGAGAGCTTTGAAGATTGTTCTCTCCAATTCTCTTGTGTGAGTTTTCTGCAGCCTAACTGGTTCCCTCATATTGATTGCTAATTGATACTCAGATGAGCACTCCAGAGGGACCCTCTGAAGGTCTCTGAAGCCTACCTTTCTGTGCAGCTCTTTCCTCCAGTATTCATCCTTGTGACTCTATCCATAGTTACCTTGCCCTTCCTAGAATTCCAGCTTCTTCTCCTCAACCTGGGGATATTGCCAGGCTCTACCTGGATTCCTCTTCCTGAGCTGCTGTCTTGAAATTATCTCCAGACAATATGCTAGGACAATGGTAGAGTTCACCTAATTTGTTTCTCTTCTTTTGGGAATCATTGTCCTAACCCAGCTAATATCCAATGTCTGTTAACAGTTGTTTCATGTATTTTGCTTGGTATTTTAGTTATTTGATGTGGAAGAGTCAATCTAATGTCAGGAACTGTGGAGGATATAAAATGTTACCTTATTTACAAACCAATATGTTTCATACCACAGTTTCATAGATGCTGGCAAAAGATAAAAGATTTCCAGGCCAGAGACAAAGGATTCTATAACTCACAGCACAATTAGATGGCATGAGCTTCATGTTCTCATTACTTTCCTTTGCATTGTCCCCCTGCCAAGTTCCACAGGGTGATATGGAGCAGCACAAATAGATGCTGTACACACAGTAGATGTATGTTACGTCTGACAAACCTTGTAATTATAAGGAGGCTGCTAACAAATCAACCCAAGCTTTCTCTGGAGAAAGGATATTATCTTTATTATGCTGATCGGAAAACAAGTTAAGTTTCTGCCCTAGAGAATATACTGTCATTGTATTCCAAGTTTGTTTGCTATCCAAACACCCTTGAAAAGATATTCTATAAAAAGCTGATATAGGATGTACAGAAAATATAACTTATGTCATTACTGTTTTTTAGGACCAGTAAGAAAATCAAAATGGTCAATCAAAGAAAGTAAAATTGTGGCTTTGAATGAATGAATGAATGTTTTAGGAAGAATTTCAGAGATGAGGTACTTCTTTATACTGTGGAGCAGTAATTAATCTTCCTCCAGTAGGAGAGACACATCTATGACTCTTGGCATATGCTTGGCTTCCCAGAGTGTGTGCTTTTCACTTTTCCTTGTTTTTCAGAAGGTATTGTTCCTGGGCCACCCACAGACCTCTCTGTCACAGAGGCCACCCGGAGCTATGTGGTGCTCAGTTGGAAGCCCCCTCGCCAACGTGGCCATGAGGGCATTCTGTACTTTGTGGAAAAGGTAAGACTCTGGGATCAACATTATTACCCCTGTCTTTTCCTAAAGATTTCTTTAAAGAAATAGAGATTAAATTTCCATTGTGTCCTGTATTCTTTAAACCCTTCCTTATAAACTACGAACTGTCTTCACAAAAAAATGTATATTATACAGAACTTTATCTGAAAGTTCAGGGGTTTATGGATCCCTGCAGCTCACCCATAGACTCCTAAGAGGTCCACAGACCCTAAATTACAACCTTTTTAAGAAGAGAAATGTTCCTGAAACTGTAGATTGTTCATATAGCACTGTTTTCTAGACACTTTCTCTGTCTTCCTTGCCCTAGTAATGGCTTTTCATCTCTCTACAACTTGTTTTCCACAGTGAAAAATGAATACTGATGAGGGTAGATGAGACAGAGGAATAAAAATTACAGTACTTTCAGAGTACTGTCAAATAGCTAGAGAGTTGAAGAGAGAAAATCCTTACATGCTGCCTTGCACTCAGTGCAGATAGTAGGGTGGGGTCAGGAATCAGAAAACAGCATGAGATACAGGCTAGTTCTTTCCTTCAAATATCTTACAATTTTGTTATAATTATGTTAGAGAGGGCAGCATACAATGAAGGTGTAAAATAGATGGAATGATGATAATTGCATATGAATTTATCACATACCCATCTTTGAGTGCAGTTGTAGTAAGTATTTCTGCCCAGAAAATGTAGAAGAGCCAAGTTTTGCACAGGACATTATTTGGGGGAAGTGCCTAGTTGCAAGTTCAGATACTGAGAAGGAATAACCTGCCAGGCAAGGCATAATTGCCACAGGAAAAGGGCATTTAAAGAGAATTTGCTTAAAATGAGGTTCAAAGTCCATTTGTTAAGAAAGTTTTGATTAAGATGTAATTGAAAAAAAATGAATCAAAAGTAAGTTTATTTTAAGTTATAGGTAAGAATGTTTACGTTTTATTGGTAGGCATGCACCATTTTTTAAAGAACAGTGAATGAAACAATTGGCTGTACTTTTTTGTGTATTTTATTTTTATAAAATTTTGTGATAATATGATAAGTTATCATTTGCATTTTACTTTCATAGCAAAATTATAGAAAATGTCTTTATTTGGCAAAAATGTTACGTAGCTCAGTTAGCTTTCCTAAGAACTTTTCTCTTTCATCCTTAAAGCTATTCTGATCATTCAATATCAGAACATCTATTAGGTCACCTTCCCTGACAATTATTACGAGATTACCTAGATATCATAGATATACAGGTACCTCCAAGCATCTGAAAATTAGATGACAACATAAAAGTAATATTCAGATATCTTATGCCTTTTAGTTATTTCAGATCATCAGAGAAAATTATACTAGCATTAAAAATACTAGGGTCTGTGGTTTTCCAACTTTAATTAATAGATTTATTAACTAATTCCCTTGATAAAGACATTTAGCTCATGTCTTTGAGGACCATCCTTCACTTCTCCTTATCCTTAGCAAATTGGTACAATAAAATGGATTATCTCTTTAATATGCAATATGGGCATCTTTCAAAAGAGCCTGATTTTACCAAAATAATATTAAAAGTTTTTATTGTTATAAATTTATATATTTTCTAGATATTAGCTTCAAATTAAATATAACTTAAACATTATTTCTGACTTAAATTTTTTTTCTATTTTTTTTAATAGAGGACAAGACTAGAGTGGAAAATATTTATTTCCTAGTGTGCTTAATACATACCCTTCACTGAATCTTTTTGAAATGTTCCACAGGAAAAGAGTTCTGAATAAGCTCTGTGACAGTAATTACCATCTTTTCTGTAATAATGACATAGTTACAACATAATACTGAGGCATTTTCTTCAGATGAGTCAACTTTGGCTTCTGTTGAACATTTCCTCTGGTCACATAAACTCTAATTTCTCCAGGAAAACCTATAACTCCCCTAGACCTAAATACATATGAGTCTGTGATTAAAAATGTAAGTGTTCTCCCACCAGCAAACCTATTAATATAAAACAGAGGGAACATTTATGAGTGCAGTGTGAATAAAGAGGCCCATATAGGCACCACTGACATATACAAAAGGCCCAGGATGTTGATATATTGGGGGAGGAGAACATGTCCAGAGATCTAGGGCACATTTACAGAAGAACTATCCAATCCTCATACCGTTCTACTCAGTTGAGTCTCAAGTTATTTCTGATGAGCCACGTCTAACATGTTGACCTTTCTAAAGGGCAATGTTTCACGTGCTCTCGTCCTGCAGCACATTTTCATCCATAGAATGTTCACGCCCAGGGAGTGCTGCTTCTTCAGTTACCTCTGAGCTTGCATTTCTTTACAGAACTTTTTACCAGAATTTGCATCTTCATAAAGCACAAACTCACCTGTCATGGCTACAGCTTATACCCAGTTACACCATGTCTGTGAGCCCTGAAATGATTGATATTGAGAGGTTTAATAGCAAGAGAATTGGATAAATTGGTCTCCAGTGCTCCCAGCCTTCCTATCCTACTGAGTTCTTTTCAGCCTCAGTTTTTTCAGATATCTTATGTCTTCCCCTATCAAAAATCTGGTCCTGTCAGAAGCAAGGATTATATCACTTGATAGCTCTCTTTCTGCAAGCAGGAATGAAAAGAGCCAATGTTTACCAAGGACCAGGCACTGCTCTAAGCACTCTGCACATGTGCACCCACTTAATTCTCACAGCAACTCTATGAGGGAAATACTCTTATTTTCGTCACACCTATTTTGCAGATGAGGAAATTCACGCATCAGTGGGGCATATAATTTGCTCAGGTCACACAGTTAGTAAGAGACAGAGCTAGGATTTGAACCAAGGCAATCTGGCTCAGTTTTCATCTACTGTATCCAGTTAATACACATCATTGCCTTTCAATCTTCCCAAGCCTGTCTTCTCCTCTGGAAAACTTGGATAATCACAATGCTACCCCCACAGTACTTAATTCAGAGCAAAGTTGAGAGGATTAAAGAGTTACAATGGCATAAAGCTTTTAGTAGAGTGAAAGGCAGCTATTATTTTTACTATGAAAGTATAAATGACTGATAATTGTTATATGTTCCCCAGGGGAGAATGTGTCAAAAGCCATAAACTAAAGGATTAAAGGTCTAGGAGAATTTTATCCCCCAGTTAGCAGCAGATTCACTGTTTAGGGGCAATTTATTCTCTCTACCCTCCCACACACAATGACACAATCATGAAAGATTCTACAAAGGACTTTGGAGGTTACCTTGTCACATTTGCCTATTTTACAAATGATGAAATTGAGACCAAAGGACACTCATGTGACTTTCCCAAGGTCACATATCTTGTTATGAACAAAGCTAAGACCTCAATGGATGCCCCCGGGTCCTTTGCAGCATGCCACATTGCCTCCCATTTCAAAGTCAATGAAGTTTATGCCAAGCAATATATCAGTATTCTTATGGTCCCAACAGCATATCATCCTTGACAGCTGGTCACTGCATCATAAGGTTTGGATTTCTGGAAAAGTCCTTGAAAATTTCCAAAGGTTCTGAAGTAAAATCACTTCTGCTGACCTTAGGGCAGAATTGAGAATTCGAATAGGTGGGGAAAAAGGATTACTGTCTAATGATAGTTTTCTCACTATATTTTCTACTAAAGTGCAAATAGACACCATATCCTTATCCTTCAAGGATTTCAGAGTCACTCTAGATCATTTTAATTCCAACATTTAATTGCTTTAAATTTAGTTTTTCCATTATTTATTTCAAATATAGGGAAGAAAAAAAGAACATCTTTATCTTTCATTAACTTCATTCAGAATTTTTAAAAATTCATTTATTCAGAAAAAAAAGACAGTTGTTGATTATGTGCCAGATATAATTCTAGGCTCTGGGGTATAGCAGTGAACATGACAATTACCTGTACTCATTTCATTGAAATTTACTTTCCAATGGAGGAGATGACAAATAAATAACTTAATTTTGAATACAGGTGTTTTGACAAAATAATAAAGGAGAATAAGGGATAGGGAGTGATGAGAAAGGAGCAAAGAACTCTTTTAGATTCTTTGATAGGTTAGGGAGGGAGTGATCAAGAAGGCCTTTTTGAGGAGGTTGTATTTGAGTACAGACCTAATGAGATTATACATCATTAAATGACATTCCATTAAAATAAAACAGTTTATAACAATGAAAATTTAAGTATTTTATATAGCATAGTAAATCTAATTACCTGCCCTAAGAATTAGAAAAATATCTGACCCCACACTGTCTTCTGAATAAATTTAAGTCTTTCATAGGTAGATGGATGATCTTAGTATATAAAGTCAGTGCAGTATTAAAGTAGCAAATTTGTCAAACAATCCAAAGCCATATTTGATTTAGATAATCCTATGGACTACAGATGCTTCATCCACATTTCCTACAAATTTCTTCTCCAGTTCAACTCCTAGCAGGTAAATAGTTTGTTGACTGAGAAATAAGACTGCTAAATGCCTGGCTCAGAGTTCCCATCTATTCTTGCTGTGCTGTAAATGGATCTCACTGTTTGGGCTGCAGTGTGATGCAGGAACAGAAAACTGGCAGCGGGTGAACACAGAGCTCCCTGTGAAGTCTCCCCGCTTTGCTCTCTTCGACCTTGCTGAAGGGAAATCCTACCGTTTCCGTGTCCGCTGTTCTAACTCAGCAGGAGTTGGTGAGCCTTCAGAGGCAACCGAAGTGACCGTTGTAGGGGACAAACTTGGTGAGTAAAGAGTTTGGTTGAACAACTATAAACTGACTTTACTTCAGTTCAAGAAAAATCCCAAAGCAAGAATTTCATTAGAATGTATATATCCAGAAGTAAAAGTGATGGCATCCTTTCACATTATAAATTTAATTGATGACTGTACCTGGCTGAGACATTTTAAAAACTCATTATTATGAATTATGAAGTCATGAAAAGTAAACTCCAAGAGTTTCAACTGCATTGCTGATGTATTTTTTTTTTCCTGGAGTATTTAGTGTATCATTATTGCCTCCAAACGTATTTTTTTTTATTTTCTGCTTTAACAAATATAAAATAAAGCAACAGTACACTTGACATGATTACTTATATAAAAATATATATGCATGTGTTTGTTCATATGTGATAAGAATGAATTTTTAAAAACTGCCCTGAGTTTGATCATCATTTTCCTCCTTTATCAGATATCCCCAAGCCCCCAGGCAAAATCATCCCAAGCAGAAATACAGACACATCAGTGATAGTTTCATGGGAGGAATCCAAAGATGCTAAGGAGCTGGTCGGGTACTACATAGAGTCCAGTGTTGTCGGCTCTGGCAAGTGGGAGCCCTGCAATAACAATCCTGTGAAAGGCTCACGGTAACTGCAGTGTTGGGGAGGGAGGTGCTGTGGGGAGCCTTCTGACTCTAGAGCACTGGAGCTTTGAAGAGGAAATGCAACCACTGACCCAGACAGCAGCACAAACATCTAACAAGGGAGATTTTGTAAAAACACGATACCATAAATATCCAAATGAGTTTAAAATTGAACATAATCTTCTGCTCGATATTTGAAAAAAGGTTTACTCATGATTTTAAGCACTTAGAAACACATTAATGCCAGCTATGATGAATTCTTTTAATAGCTTTTTTTTCTTATTCTTTTCCTTTATGCTATTTGTCCTTTTTCACCCATCTATTCTGGTCTTGAATATTCAATGTGATACTAGATTTCAAGGATCTAGTTGACTCTAGCTGACATAAAGTACTCAGGCATTTTATTTATTAATTATTATTATTATTATTATTATTATTTTAGAGAAAGGTGTGGTGGTGAGGGGGGGAAGAGAATCTTAAGCAGGCTCTATCTCACAAACCCTGAGATCATAACCTGAGCTGAAATTGAGAGTTGAACACTTGACCAACTGAATCACCCAGGTGCCCCTAAGGCATCTTAAACGAATAGGAAAAGAATATCAACATTTACAAATTCTGAACATGGTTAAACTTGGTGCTAGTAGACATGAGTAACACTAACAAAGAGACATTCACAATACCTTGCCACTTCTTTATATCTGTTTCTAATATGAAGAGGGTTATTTTCTTTTTCTTGCTTTCAAATATTTTGTCAGTCAGCTTTGCAGGTTGATGATGAGTTCTGACCTGCAACCAAACTCTGAGCCTCCTTTGATTTAGGACCAGTCTGAGAGGAGAATTCCAGCCTCCTAAATTGTCAAACGAGCTTGTTAGAGAGCTTCTGGTATGGCCACTTCAAAGTCCAAGGACCCCCATAGGATGAGTTGTTTCTTTTGCAGAACAGGAAAGAATAGAGGCAAATCAATTAATGGGAGAAAGCAAGAGATTCATCTGTTCATTTCGCTCTTATTCTGAGTTCCTAGCGTTTTCCTGGGACTATTTAGAAATATTTATAGAGGGTTAGACAAGGTCTGCCTTTCCACAAACAGATGGGAGCTTCTCAAGGACAGGCACCATTTTTTATTCACCTTTGTGTCCACAGTATCTAGCTCAGTGTCTGGAACACTGAAGTGCTCAATAAATATTTGCTGAACTGAGCTGACCTAAAGGATTGGCCTAATTTATGACTGCCTTCATTAAATATTCCAACATTACTAATGGTAATAGAGTCATTAGCAGACCTGTTATTTCCTCTGGTTATAGTCTTCAGGGTGGATTAAAATGTTACAGTGATTCATGAAATGGCTATTTATAGCCATAATAGCTATTAAGAAGTGAGGTTGTTTTATGTGTGAAACTGCCCATGGATTCACACTTCATTACTGGGTCCTTATATCCAAATGGTAATCCATATTTCATCTTATTTTCAGATTCTAGTGTAATTCCTCAAGTAATTATACCTTCCCTGCCATGCCTAGAAGCAGTGCCTAGGCCCTATAACACAGAGCAGCCAATGTCTTATAGCCCTAAGTATATACTTGAAAAGGCCATTACTAGTATTAATACCACCTATTATTTATTCAATGCTAAGCCCTGAAATAGATACTTTAAATACCTTATGGCCAATCTTTACACAAAAAATTATGATGAAGACATATTATCCCAATTTTATTAATAAGCACACAGAGGCTCAGAAAAGTTAAGGTACTTATTCAGGGGAAATCCAGGAGGACTCTGTGTTGTTTGATAGGGTGAGTTTAGAAAATTGCCTTTATTAGCTGCCTTCTTGTCCAAAGCACATACATTACCTGGTCTCTGTACTTACTCTTTTTGCTTTTAGAAAATGAATTGTTTTTATAAAGCCAGATCATTCAGTTAAGCTAAAACCATCTTGTCTAATTCTCCCCATCCCTAGGAAAAATTTTTGAAACTTCCTTTCCTTTTAGATTTACTTGCCATGGATTGGCAACTGGTCAGAGTTACATCTTCCGGGTCAGAGCAGTTAATGCAGCTGGACTTAGTGAATATTCACAGGATTCAGAAGCAATAGAAGTAAAAGCTGCTATTGGTAAGTTCCTTATGCATAACTTTGTAGTTAAAAATGGATTTTTTATAAGTTATAAAGGAAGATACCACACTCTCCAGAAATTGTTTAAAGCTTCTAGAATTGCTTGATGATTCCATCCTCAGATGACCATTTTCTCTGACTCCAGGTGACAGCTAACCTTCCATAGCCATTATTTTACAGATCTTCATCACTTATCCAGATTCTGTGCATCTGTAGCCTTGTCATCTTCACAAGTTTGAGTTTCCTCAGATATTTCCCACTGTGTGAAACTCCATTCTAACTTCGTGCTCATCCTGGGAATGTGAAGGGTCATCCAGTTCCTTGGAGTGGTATATCACCCGTAACACAGATCATTTTGTACCTAAATGCCATTTCACCTGTGACAAAGCCTGGCTTGTTTTCACTAACAATACATTAACATGCTTTTTATAAACTCCTCTAAGTTTTGTGCAAGACACATGTGGTTGCGTAATCATATGCTACATCTCTGCTCGCAAAGTAACCAACAGAATAAAACTGGTAATAAAGTAATTGTATGTATGTACATGATGTGCCTCCCAATCTTAGATAAAGCAGGGAAGGGACCCAGGTAGTTCAGAACACCAAAAATGAAGTCTGTGATAGAGCAACACATATTTGAAAGGAAAGATTATTTTATATCAGTTATCTTTGGTTATCATGCCATATTATTTTTAATACTCCTTATGGTATTTATGGACAACAGTGAACATTTTTTTGAGGTTGGGAGGTACAGACCATTAATATTTCAGTAATGTACATAATTCTGTTATAAAATCAGGGTCTTTAATGTATGTCTTGTGCACTTTATGATCCTTTCCTCCCGTCATTCTGTTGAATAACAGGACTTAATATCTTTCAAAAAATGTCAGAGATTTGTGTTTTTTTTTTCTTATATATACTTGGGTTCTGTGAATCAAAATGGTTCCTGTTCTGTCTGTGGTTTTCTGTTCTTATTTCTTCTTTTCCCAGAATATGGAGAAGTTGAAATGTTTCCTTGGCATAAATTATTTTGGAATGTATGCTTTCCATATTTCTTGAAAATCTGAGTGATTTCCATTAAACTAAGATGACTTTTGTTCTATTTGTGGGCCTAATATTTTTCCCTTTGTTCTATTAAGTAAGAGCAATTTTACTGTGTCTGGGCTCAAAGTGTTTATGTTGTTATCTGGTGATTGTAGGGGGAGGAGTGTCTCCAGATGTGTGGCCTGAACTGAATGATACACCTGGTGGACTAACAGACTCCAGGGGAGGCATGCATGAAGCCTCCCAGCCAGCCTTTAAGAAAAATGCTTTGCTTGGTAGCAAACTTAACAAACCTTCACTACCCAGTAGCGCTCACAACCTGGGCCAAACAGAAGTGAGTAAAGTAAGTGAAACAGTTCAGGAAGAGCTTACCCCATCACCACAGAAGGCAGCCCTTAAGGGGAAAAGTAAGTCTGACCCTCTGAAAAAGAAGAAGGACCTAGGTGAGATTCGAAAGAGTACAACTGTTCCATCTGTCTCCATCAGTGTCCTCACCTCATTGTCGAGATCACATTCTTCCATCTCTGTGTTCACTTTCATCAATGTTTATTCTTCATTTGACATGTTTTCAGCTATCCATTTGCAGTACTTTTGTCTAATGAGTTGTAAAAGTAACTTTGGGGGAGTTTGGCTTTTATACATACTTCACTGTGCTTAATGACAGCAGAATATTTAAAGTGATTTAGTTATTGAACCCTGTTTGGTTTCTCAGGCAGACACACCATTGGCCTCATTTCGCTAAGAAAATTAGAGCTGAGAGGAGAAGGGATTTGTTAATCACAGCCCATGTAGAGTTCTTGGAAATACTCATGCTCAATACATGTATGGGAAAAATATGTTTCAAAGAAGTCACATTTTATCAGGACCATAGTTATTACTGCTGTTCATCTTCAGGTTTTCAAGTTATCCTTCATATTTAACTCCAATAAATATAAGTAATAGTATCTCTTTGATGTGCCATGACAAGTTTAACAGGCAATTACAATCATCACATAAAGCTAAATTCTGGGCTATGTGAATCACATTCCCAGAACTGATTTATTTTAGACTATTTATCAGTAAGGTCAGAATTTTCTTACTAGTATATTTGATACTTGTGGCTTATATATTCTAGGTGACAGTGTTTTCTTATCAAATAAAAATGAAATGATAAGCATTGTAGCATGCCTCTCATCCATCTCCTATTACTACTCCACTTCCAACTTCTATAACTTCTATTTTTTTTAACCTTTATTGTACCTTCAACTCAAGATGGGATATTCATTTGAGAGTTCACATTCAATATGTCTCTGTAATAGGAAGAGTGAGAGAGATGAGAGAAAACATTTTTAGTGTAAAGAATGAAGGAGGTTGGTGAGAGGGAAAGAGAAACAAATGTATTTTATTTTTTAAAAATCTTTATTGTTCTAAGAATCTTTTGAATAAGAATAAGTAGTTCTTTTTTCCCCTGTAATCCAAATAAATATTCAGAAAAGTCTTTTTCATGTCATTGCACATCTGGATGGATTTCTTTCCACCACCTGACCCTCTCTTTCTTTATCAAACACCATTATTTACTAGTTGGGGGAGAAGTTGATCAGCAAAGCCGCATAAATGAAAGAAGACTTTTAAAACATCCTCCAGATATTTTTCTGGCTAGGAAATAATAAACACGGTGACAGCTGTCTAGCATTTTGTACCATATAAATAATAGTCCAACATCAGGTTAAAAATAATGCAGCAAAAGGTATTATATACTAAGAGAAAAATCACATGGCAGATTGTGCCTACTTTAAAAAAATTTTTTTTAAGATGGCATTTAGCTGAGCTTGAAATAAGATTTTTTCTGTGTGTAGACAGAACTTGTTTAGTTATAAGGTCTCACAAGGGTATGTATGCCTGAATGGTGAAATGCTAACCATTTGGAAATAACATGGAAATTCTCTATAAGCACATTGAGGCAGAAATTGATATACATACTTCATTTTCCTCAAGGAGCAAATAAAAACAAAACCACATTAAGAAACAAAAATATGTATCTTGTGAAAAATATTTCTTCTTCTGGGGAATAGAATCATTTTTCAGAATATTGCACTGTTTTGCTGTTAGTATTTCAAAAATTATTCTTCTGTGGAAGCAGGAGAGCAGGTTCTTTTTATCTTTGGAATAACATTTGCAGTGCACTTTTTACTGTATGTGGGGTTTTTTTCTCATACACCAAATTGGGTGCCAAGTTACTGATTAGTCTTCACACTTCAGTTTTATACTGCAAGACCCTAGTGCCCTCACAGGTGGCATGAATGAAACAAGTTTAATGTACATAAAATCATAAATGCATTTCTTTCTACTTACTTGGTATTCATATTGCAACAGCGGCACCATCTCCACCCTGTGATATCACTTGTCTTGAAAGTTTTCGTGACTCGATGGTTCTTGGATGGAAGCAACCAGATAAGACTGGAGGAGCTGAAATTACTGGCTATTATGTAAACTATCGTGAGGTAATTGATGGAGTACCAGGAAGATGGAGAGAAGCCAACATCAAAGCTGTCAGTGATGAGGCATATAAGGTAAATGTGTGACCTTCTGTAGTGTGGAGTGTCACATATATGATGATGACATGCTTGCTTGCACACACACGCACACCCACACCCACACCCAGCGGCTTATAAATGATTCATATCATTTCTCCAGTGTCCATTGTCTACAACGACAGGATTTTTGTCACAAATATATCAAGGTAAATAGAAGTAAGCTGATTGACCAGGAAGGATTTGTATCCTCTGATTCATATGCATAAACATAATAACTTCCTAGAATATTTACTATGAAATGTATATTTATGGTAAGAATTCATGTTTATTTCAAAACAAAATATCTATAACCAATGTGCTGCTAGCTCAAGAGTCCCAGGATCCAAAAGACTGCAGTTTTAGCTTTCAGTGTTCAAATCACAAAGGATAAAGGGACATGGACCTGATGGCCAGCATCAGCTCACCACCTGTGAAGTGTCCCCCATTATAGTGGCTCTGATGGCCATGAAGGGATGATTGATATGTGTCTACCCACACATTTCTTTTTACTGCTTTGCCCATCTCAGAGTACTTGAAGGGTTTTACTGATGCCATAACTATGGTTCCTCTCTTTGGAGTATCGTTAGCTAGAGGAAAGTCACCCCCCTTAATACTCCCAGAACCCTATGCTGTGAGAGCAAGAGCAGGATGAGGTTGGGAGAATGATGCTTTCCCCAACTCAGTGCCACAGGTTTTAAATCTAACATTTAAAATTTATGGAATATCACACACATACTGAATACATAAAGAAGTTAAAACAAGAATATATAAAATAAAATCATATTTTTTAAGTTCTTCCATGTTGATGTGTAGCTATGACTTCATTATTGTACGGTATTCTATTATATGACTGTCTCACAATATACTTTTCTATCTAGTTATTGATGATATTTCAGTATTTTCACATTTATAGCTATATCAAACAGTGTAGCTATGAACATTTTTGTACATTTTTGTCTGCTGGCATGTATATACACTAATTTCTCTAGGTTATTACCTAAAAGCAGAATTGGTGGGCCAGAGAATCTGTTATCTTTAATTTTAGTAGATACGTCTATACTGGTTTTCTGAAGAGTATGAGAATTCCCATTGTTGCACATTCCCCTAACACTTGGTATATTCACACATTTTCAGTTTTGACAATCGGGGTGTCAAATGAATCTGAACATCTTTTGCTATACATAATATCCATTTTGAAATCTTTTATAACATGCCTGCACAAAGAATTGCCCATTTTTCTAATAGATTTTCTTTGTATATTCTGAGCTTAAAATCCTTGGTAGCTGTGGAGGCTGTGTCTTTTTTTCCTGCTCATTGGTTAGTATTTCTTCTCCTTATGGTAACAACACTAATTTTAATATCAAATTTATTGCAGCCAGACTTAACATTTGCTTTGTGGTATAAAGGTCAACATTCATTATTCCCCTGTAGGGAAACACAGTTGTCCCATCTATTGAAAAGTTTGCCCTTTTTTCTACTATTCTTCTAGGCTATTTGTATCATGTGTCAAGTTTCTTTGATGCATGTGTCTGCTTCTGTGTTTTCCATTTTGTTCCACTGGTCTGTTTGTCTACCACTGGACCAGAACCACATTAATTTAATCATTACCACTTTATAGCAAATTTGATAACTGGTAGATCAAGTTATCTCAGTTTAGTTTATTATTCCTAGGCTGTTTTTAGTCCTTTGCACTTCGATATAAATTGTAGAATTAGGTTACCAAGTTCTACCAAAAAACAAGACAAGCAAAAGCAAACACAACAAATAAAATTAAATTAAACTAAAACATTTTACAATTGTGATTGGTATTGCATTGAATCCATAAATAAATTGAGGAATAATTGACATCTTTAAAATATGAACTCTTCTAATATATGAACATGATATTTCTCTCCATTTATTTTGGTCTTTAAAGCTTCTCAATAAAGCTTTATAATTCTCTAGAGAAGTTTTGCACATCATTTGTTATTTATTTATAGGTATTACATGTTTTTGGTGCTTAAATAGTCTGTTTTTATATCATTTTGTTATTGCTGGTATAGAGAAATATACCTCATTTTTATGTATTGATTTTACATGTCATTGTTATGTATAAGTTTTTGCTAAATTTTCTTATTATTTCTATGTTACCTATGAGCTCTTTTTGATTCCTGTATATCTTTTTTTTTTGATTCCTGTATATCATATCATCTGCAAATGACAGGTTGCTTCTTCATTCCCAAATTTTATATTTTTTGCTTTATTTTCTTAGCTTTCTGCTTAAAATCGTTAACAAAATATTGATAGAAGTGGTGATCTTGGTCATTCTAGACTTGGTCTTTATCTAAAGGAAAACATTTCACCATTTCACCATTAAATATTATATTTACTATTTGTTTGATAGACATCTGTTATCAGCTAAAGGAAGTTGCCTTCTATTCCTAGTTAAGAATTAATTAAAATTATGAAATATTTTTTTCTGAATCCATTGAGATGGTTATATGATTTTTCCCTTTAGTTTTAATGTGGTATATTCTAGTAATTATCTAATGTTAAAATAACCTTGCATTCCTGGCATAAATCCAAATTGGACATTATGTATATTCTGTCTATATATTACTGGATTTTTTTTTTACTTATTGTTGTTTAGGATTTTTGCTTTTATGTTCATGAGTGAAATTACCCTGAGACTAGAATTAATTTGATAAAAATACTTGACAAGGATAGTACCGGAAGGGAAAATTGCAGGATAATCTTACTTTATTGAGATATAATTCACATATCATATAATTCACCCAATTCGAATGTTACTTTATATATTTTGAAGAGGTGTTATTAGATGCATATAAAGTGACTTTTGATATCACTGACAATTTGTTTTGCCTTCAAGTCTCTATTGTCTGTTATTAATATGAATTTATCAATTTTCTTTTGGTTGGTGTTTATATGGTATATAATTTTTCATCCTTTGACTTTCAATCTGTCTTTAACTTCATGATATATATATATATATATATATATATACCTTAAAAATCATAGGGTGGGATATTTTTCCTACCTGAGAGTCTTTGTCATTTAACTGGAGTATTTAATGATACTACCACTTTTTTGTAAAACCAATCATCTTTATTTTGTGTTTTCTGTTTGCTTGTTCTGTTTCATTTTCTGTCCTTACTTGATTACTTTTGAATAGGTTTCTTACCCTCACCTTTTAGCCATGCCCTTTCCCCCTCTATACTACCTTGAAAGCTATAAATTCTCCAGTGTTTGTTTTTGGTGGTTACTCTAAAAATTATAGTGAGCAAATTAACAGTCTGAATTCTATTATTTTAACCTTGTCTGAGAAAAATAGGACCTCAGAATACTGTAAGCCATTTATCCTAGTCCCATTTTATATGCTATTGTGTATGTGTTTTTAAGTCATTTTTTAAATCCAAAAGTAATGTTATTAATGTTTTATAGTCGATACTTAGATTTATGTAAATTATTTTATTTAAGATTTTATTTTCTTTTAATTTCACATTTTTTACCTTCTAGTTGAGAACACTTTCCTTTCATCTAAATTAAACAGTTTAGAATGTTCTTTAGTTAGGGTATTCTGAAAACACATACTCTTTTACTTTTGTTCATCTGAAAATAACTTTTTTCTTCATTTTCCAAAAATTTTTTCTAGATAAAACATTATATAATAGTAGTTATTTTCTTTCACACTTGGAAGGTATAATTCCACTGTCTTTTGGTTCAATGTTGCCACTGACATGTCAGCTTTTAGTCTGTTTGCTTATTTGAGTGTTGTCTTTTAGACAGCTTTTAATATTTTTACTATCTGTTTGGTGTGCTACAGTTAAATTATGTATCTCAGAATAGGTTTTTAAAAATGTCTCTGCCTAGGATTTTGGCATGAGGAGTATTTTCAATCTGTGGGTTGGATTTTTCAAGAAGATCTTTCTGGAAAATTCTAAGGCGTTTATCTCCTAAAATATTGTTGCTGCCCCATTCTCTCCTCTCTCCTCTTGAAACTCTATTTAACATGAATTTGACATTCTCATTCTATCTTCCATGTCTATTAATCACTCTTCTCTCTTTTCCATCTTTGTATCTTTCTGCACTGTGGTCTGTGTGATTTCTTATAGCTCTCTGTTAGTTTACATATTTGCTCTTCTTTTGCATCTGATTTTCTGTTAAACTCATCCATTATTTTTCTATTATTGTATTTTTCCCTTTTTTAGGTCACATTTTACAAAATATTTTATAGTTTGCTGTCTCTCCTGCAGATACTTTTTTTAATGTTTCAAGTTTTAAATTAAATTCTAGTTAGTTAACATATAGTGTAACATTAGTTTCAGGAGTAGTCCCACAGATGTTTTAAATTTGTATTTTATGTTTAAAACATAGTAAGCATAGCTGTTTTTCTAATCTATGATGATTCTATCATCTAATATCTTTGCAGGTATGTATCTGTTTTCATTGGTTTTGTAGTATCTTGTTCATAGTATCTTGTTTTCTATGCTTGGTTATCCTTGATTATGTGCTGCTCATTGTCACTAAAATATTATTTGCATGAATAATTTGAGGTTCATGCTGAAGACATTTTTCTCTGTAAAAGATTTGTATTTGCTTCTGCAAGGTACCTGGGGATACCACTTGTTGAGTTTTTTTTCTTAAATCAAATACAAGCCTTTAATTTTTGGGACAATCAAGCAATGTAAATTTATACTGTATGAAGGCAGGTTTATTTCTATTTCAACTTTACTCCCAAAGAGTAAAGCCCTTAAGGGTTCCATCTTAATTGTAGAGGGTTCCCTTTTATTACCCTTCTTAGGTTGGCTCTAGGCTTTGATTTCAGTTCCTCTGCTTTTGAGATAATAAAAACCAAAGGTCAAACTTTTCTTTTTTGGCAGCTATCCCAAAGGTAAAAGCCACTTCTATATAGGTTCCACTTATCTCTTTTTGTTCCCTATTTCCCATTATTCTGTTCTTATAATTCTATAATGTCTCGACACTAATTTGATGCTTTTGAAAAGATTTTTAAAAGATATTTTTGTCTACTATTTTTAATTTTTTAGCAAGATGATTAATCTCTATAGCCTGGTTCACCATTGCCAGAAATAGAAGTCCCATGCTACAATATTTCACCTAAGCCTAGAATGACCAACTTTCTCTGTTTGCCTAGGATTCTCTTAGTTTCAGCACTATACTGCCTACATCCTTAGAAACCCCACAGTCCCAAGAAAACTGGAATTGTTGGTCACCCTAATGGAACCCCAAAACAGCCCTGGTACCTGAATAAAGTACTTTTAGATCCAAGTTATCTACATGATGGTTTCCTACTAATTAAAAAGATCTTTCCTTCTTAAAGGAAATGTGTTTGTATGTGTGTGTGTGAATCAAAAAGGGAGTTTGTATTATTCTGTTACCCATAACATATAGCCATTATATTCTACTTGATCAAATCAGGATCATAGATATATATTTGTTTTGCTTGTCTTAAGTCATATAATGGGTAAGTTTTATTAACCCAACTGGTTCTATCGATGCCTTCATTTATTAAGCATTTTTAAAGGATTTTATTTATTTATTAGAGACAGAGAGAGAGCATGAGTGTGGGGAGGGACAGAAGAAGAAGAACAAGGAGACTCCTCTGAGCACAGAGCCTGATCATGACCTGGGCTGAAATCAAGAGTTGGATGTTTAACTAACTGAGCTACCTAAATGCCCTCACTTATTAAGCATTTTTAATTCTCAAAGGATTGTTTACAGTCCATGGATTTTTTTCACAATAATATATTCCATCATTTATACTGTGCAAATATTTTCACATTCATTATTTTATCACATATATTTACTACAGCCAAATTTCCTATGAGGGATATAGAAAAGTCATTAAGTCATTCAGTAAGGAGCAGAAAAATGAAAGATTTTGAATATTTTTATTCCTAGCTTAGAATTCCTTTAATTTTCATCTGTACAAGCATAAATTTTCTATTTCTGCTTAGCAAATTACCACAAACTTTGTGACTTAAAACAACCCATATTTGTTATATCACAGTGTCTGTAAGTCAGGAGTCTAGGCATGTCTTAGATGAGTCTTCTGCTTGAGGTCTCACAAGGTTTTATTCTATGTGTCAGCAGGGCTCATTCTCATCTGGAGTTGAGTTCCTCTTCCAAGCTTATTCAGTCACTGGCAGAATTCAGTTCTTCCAGCTGTAAGTCTGAGGCCCTCTTCTCCTAGAGGCTGCTCTTCTCCAAATGTGAGTGGCTAGGCAGTTCGCAACATGGCATTTGCTTCTTGAATGCCATTAGGATAGTGTTTTCTTCATGAAAGTGCCAAACCCCATTTTGAGAGTTTTCATCTGATTAATTCAGACCTACTCAGGATAATCTCCCTTTTGATGAACTAAAAATTGTACTGATTAGGGACTTTAATTTTATCTGTAATATCCCTCCTCCTTTTCTATATGATGGAACAACAATCACAGGACTGATATTCCAATACCTTTCCCATATTCTGTTGGTTGGAACCAGGTCACAGATTTTACTCACACCCAGGGGGAGTAGATTACAAAAGGGTATGATTCATTGGGAGTCACTTCAGGGTGTGTCCAACACAAGAGGTAAGTAAATAAAATATTGAACAATTGAAAAAACAAACCTGAATCAGCATCCACTCTGTGATATTGTCATGTTGCAGATTAGCAACTTGAAGGAAAACATGGTGTATCAGTTTCAAGTGGCGGCCATGAACATCGCTGGGTTGGGAGTACCCTCAGCAGTAAGTGAATGCTTCAAATGTGAAGAGTGGACCATTGCTGTTCCAGGTAAACCATGAAAACCATTTCTCAGCACTCAGGCTTGAGGTCTCTTCCAAAAGAACCTACTGCTGGGAAGTAAATTTAAGTGCTACATAGACAGTTTCTAAGGGAAAAGAGTTCTCTTGGCCCCTTATGTTTACCTGAAATATTTCTGTATCCTATCAAATAATAGGCACTAATATAAAACTGACTATAATTTCATGTGCTTATATTCCAAATACAATCTAGGGCCCTCAGAGTTATATCTTTCTGCTTGGAATAGGATTAACAGAAGCACACAATCTGAGTTCTACACTATCATTTAAAAGGAATTCTGATATTTTTTTGTGTTGTTTAAAGACCATCGAAGGGCATCCAACTTGTATCCACAACAAAATACCTCAAAAACTTCTTCCTGTACTTCCTAATTCTCATGTATTCTTCCATATTGCTCTGGAACCTTTCACTTATCAATCTCCAGAAATCTCTCCCTCCAAGCTCAGCCAATGTGACTCCTCTTCCTTGTCTCTTTCCTCCCTTGCTTCTAGCTCTTTATGATGTTATGTAGGTGGAATTAACATGCCTGCCTGGGACTTAAGTTCTGGACTTTCTTCACTTAACTCTCTCCACTTACTTCTCCAGTCATTTTGTTCTCTCTCCACTTTTGTCTCAACTCTGCATCACAACAAAGTTCCTGGAACCTGGCTGGAAATATTCTCTTATGGAGGTTGCCATAGTGGGTGGTTGGCTGAACAGGGAAGAAAATGGGGAGAGGGCAGAAACAGTTACCTGTGCCTTTTTTTTTTAAATTTATTTATTTATGATAGTCACACACACACAGAGAGAGAGAGAGAGAGAGAGAGAGAGAGGCAGAGACACAGGCAGAGGGAGAAGCAGGCTCCATGCACCGGGAGCCTGATGTGGGACTCGATCCCGGGTCTCCAGGATTGCGCCCTGGGCCAAAGGCAGGCGCCAAACCGCTGCGACACCTAGGGATCCCCCTACCTATGCCTTTTAAAACACAGCTACAACACTGAACAAATTAAAAAATTGAATACAAACAAATTTACCAAGCCATTAAGATTCAAACTAGCCACATTAATGTATTTAGTGGGTGATTTCATTTTGCTTCCAACAGTACCAACTTCACAGACCCAATGAGTACCACAGGATGACTAGATTCTCCCACTTGGGCTTAATATGCAGCATATGTATAGCACCAGTATCAACCACATTAGAACACAAGGCCAACTGGAGCATACTGGGTGGATCCAGCCATGTCCTTGATACCACCCTCTTCCTCTATGTGAAGCCCTAGTGCCCTTGAAGAACCATCAGTTTTGCCTTTGCTTAGCTTATATTTGCATCACTTCTCTATCAAATTTGAATAAAAAGATTACAAGAGAAACCTAAGAGAAGTTCAAGCACTCACTCAACTTTAATAAATATTAAGAGGCAAACATGCTGCCTTTTCTCACACCTCCTTAAGCCAGTAAATATTTCTTAAGCTGTTTCTGTCACCTACACAAAAGTGGACCCGTTTTTAAATTCTTACAATTCCTGAATAAAATTAAAAAATATAAGTGACTAGAAATTCAGAAATTCTGAGCAGGCCTGTGGAAAATGTTTTGACTGAGAGATATAGTTAGCAAAAGAGGTTGCAGGATGAGTGCTACCTGTTTGGATGCCTCACTGGGTTCTGAGGATGGCACAAGAAAATGATTTAGAAGCCCTTTGCAAAACAGAACATGACACACTATTATAAGGTATTGGTTATTTTTTAAATCTGTTACCATATTATTTAAACCTCTTGCCTTGTTGGAAGGCAAGGATGACACATATCCGTGATTGTTAAGCCAAGATACAGGGCCCCACAAATATTGAGCTATCAATTGCAAAATGCCAAAGCATAGCATGGTAGAGTCTGTGTTTGTAGCTATGAATCAGTTTAGGTGATTTTGATTGGTTGGTTAGAAATCAGTTATTTAAAAGAAAAAAAATAGGAAGAAAGAAAATAAATATACCACTTACATAGCAGCTGGTGGTCATGGAAAGATGTGGGATATCACTTAGTAGTTTGGATTCTCCCAAGACTGCAAACAGCACATGGACAAGGAGAACATTTGGCTTTCTTCCTGAACAGGTTGATCAAGTTACTTGGCTTCTCTGAGCTTTCTGTTGTCTTAAGGATGAATGAGACAAATAAATATAAAGTACCTAGCAGTGTTTAGCTGGGGTCTATGGGATTAATTGTATCTTTTCATGAAAGTTCTTTGTAAACTGTAATTGTAGTTTGCTTCTACTCCTACATGGAATATATGCCCTATGGGAAAGATTTCCCTCTAAAAGGGAACTATTTTGTAATATATTACTTTTTCTTGTAAAAAAATATTACTATCTATATTCATATGCCATCAAAGAGAGTTGCTTTTTCATCCTAATTTGAGATTTAGGGAAATTTTCAGATTGCCATCCAAAAGTAATCTTAAACTGAATTTGCAACCACATTAAACTCTTCTGATAAAAGATGAGGACCACAAGCCCAAGGACACCCTGAAGGCAAGTTATCATCCAGCCTCTGGGGGCCACCTTGAATTGGCTCTAACTACCTGCTGCCCAAAAAGGGACTTAGTAGGTTGATGTAGAGCCATTGAGGAAACTTGATACAAAATGACCACAAAATACCTATTTTTATAGGATTGATAGACTTCACAAAAGAAGAACACTGGATTCAGCTTTAAGACTTCAAATGTGGTTCTAGATTTATATGTATTTGAATTTTCTCATCTATGTTACAATTTTTATACATTGGTCTCTCTCTCTCTTTCTCAGGACCCCCACACAATGTCAAATATAGTGAGGTTAGGAAAACCTCCCTGGTTCTGCAGTGGAAGCCTCCTGTCCATTCTGGAAGGACTCCGGTCACTGGGTACTTTGTGGACTTGAAAGAGGCCAATGCCAAAGATGACCAATGGCGAGGACTCAACAAGGCAGCTATTAAAAACACGTACCTGAGGGTAAGAGGGTGTTCAGATTTGGATAAACCTTTTTTAGAAAGACAAATGTTCCCCTAATGATAATAACTTTAAAATTAGATAAAACACAACATTTCTGCTTTGATATGTTTCTTACATTGGGCTCCTGGTAAGATCCCATTTGGCAGTGGTTGGGGTTGGGGGAAGTTCCTGATGCTTAAAGCCATTTGGTTCTATTTAACCTGAATTCCAGAGCCTAGCTTTGCAAAACATCCACAAGCTCCCTCCTCTCTTTTTCCCTCTTTGCCTCTACTTACCCACCTTACATTTTTGTTACAATCTTAGAAAGGTGACTTTCTCATTTTTACCTCTGATTTTTTTTTTTTTTGAGGATGTTGTTTTCATAGCATTCATGCCAGCAAGGCTTTACCTGCTGATTCCTTTGAGTCATGGGCTCCCTCCTGCTTGTGCTCACATGAGCTCAGAGGAAGGTGGAATGCGTTCACTCAACTCTTGACCTAATCCTTACTCTTATCTACGTCTTTGCCTCCAGATTCCTTTAGTGTTCTAGTTGAACAAATTCCATAATTATCTACCAAAGATTATTCTGCTAAAGCCACTGAATCTCAATTGTAACAAATGGGTATCTCAAAAGAATGTTTTTTCCTATGTCACCAGTGACACCAAGAGACCCTTAATCCACACCAGGGCTTCAGAAAGTGTGGGGAATATGATTCTGACTCTTATTACTTAGAATAAAGTGTGGCTTCACAACAATCATTCAGAAAGCAGCACAGTGCATTTATTTTGCAGCTCTATCTGTTGGCAGAATAAGTGATTGCCTAGACAGGTGGGACTTAGAAGATACTCAGGGTATGCCTGCTATAAAAGTTCTCTTCCATTGACCTGCCACTGTGGACTAAAGTCCATACCATCTTTCAGCCACTCTCCAGAGATGAGGTATTTACTGTCCCCATAAAAAAATATAAATATGTCCTCTAAGAGAGATGACCGTTTAAACATGCCATTAACTCTCAGGATATGCTAATGACCTCCCTGACAAAACCTTGAGGAGGTAAGAAAGGTCACATTTCATGGGGAAGAGAAAAAGATGAAGGAAGGTCAGGAACTTAGCATGCTGTTGGGTAGTCCAAAGGAGTCAGGAGGCCTCTAGATTCAAAGAAACCCCCAAAGGACAGTGTAAAATAAAAGTCAGACACATCCTGTTTGTTGGTGGTGTGTATTTATTCCCAGAATAGTTTCCAATTTTTCAATTTGCCACAGCACAGGATCCCAAGAGCTGACATTGGACTTGACTCGGGTTAAACAATACAAGGATGAGAAGCATCCTTGGAGGACCAACAGCCCAGAAAAGATGGGCGGGAAGAAAAAGGAATAGAATTTAAACATATCAAAGAATGGTTAAGGTCACTCATTTGAAAAAAGAAGAAGAAGAAAGGCAAAGACAGAGAGAGACAGAGAGAGAGAGAGAGAGAGAGAGAGAGAGAGAGAGAGATTGACACTGAGGTTAAATGTACCTCACAAACTGGGAGGTGAATTTTCCATAAAGAAATTATTTTAGAGTTTGTCTACACTTTTTAAGTGAAAGTAGACTTACTGACTTCTGATTATAAAACTGACACATGCTCATGATGAAAATTTCAAACAATATAGGCATATAGTAGAGATGTCCTGTAATCTTCATACCCACTGTGATATAGATTCGCTCTTCCAGGTATCTTATATCCAGAAAAATTTCAAGCCTGAAATGGAGAAAAAAATGTACATATTAAAAGGTTTAATCTGAAAGAAAGTTTAATCTGGTAAACTTAAGTGAGGGTGGGAAACAGTTCCACAAACGGGAGAATTTGAGCTCTACAATGAAGTAGTTCATACAAAGGAAAACCACTTGTGTTTAAAGGACACAGAACACCCATCACTTCTGTTCCTGCTTCTTCCAGGTACAAGGCCTCCAGGAGGGCATGAGCTACGTGCTCCGTGTCCGAGCCATAAACCAGGCGGGTGTCGGCAAGCCATCGGACCTCGCTGGGCCTGTTGTGGCAGAAACTCGTCCAGGTGGGCTTTTACGTGAAATCGTAAAACTTTAATGAAAGAGTTAATCTCATCTGTGTAACATACCAAAGCAACATTCAATCTTACTTTCTATGTTTTTCCTAATTTTCAAAATTATCCGTGTATGCTATCTGAATGGTTGGTAAATTTGGCCTGCGGACATGAGTCATTTATTGCATCACGGGTGCTCTTAAAACAGGAGTAAACCAGATTTGAAGTGATCCAGAGCTATTCTGATCTATATCTAAAAACAGGGAAGGTCTTGATCAAATGATGCTTTCTGAACTATTTCAAGCATACTTTCCTGGGGCATTATTCCTATTATTATACTGTGGCCATTAAGTCCTACAAGAATATTTTCCCAGTTGTAGAAGCTGGACAGCCCAGTGAACAAGCACGATTCTTAAACAAAAGCAGAATTCATATAATTGTAGCTATTAAGCTCTAGGGGTCAGCAAATGTTTTCTGTGAAGAACCAGATAATAAATATTTTTGGCTCTTGGCCATATGATCTCTGTCACAATACTCAACTCTTCCATGGCATAAAGGCAGCCGTAAATAATATATAAACTTGTGAGCATGGCTGTGTTCTAATAAAACTGTATTGTGCCAGTTATACACATTATATATTGAATGTATTATGAAATTTAAATTTTAAGTAATTTTCACATGCCTTGAAATATTTTCTTTTTATTTTTTTTCAATTGTTTCAAAATTCAAAAACCATTCTTAGCTTGTAGGCCATACAAAAAGAGGCAATGAGCCAAACTTAGCCTGCAGGCCATAGTTTGTTGACCCCTAAGGTAAAACTAATAGCAGTTTTAACTGGATGATCTGTGGAGTGGAAGGATCTTTCACTTCCCAGTTTTAAAAGGTGCCATGATTGGACTAGAGAACACAGTCTTTCCCCTTCATTATGTGAGCAAAGTTTACAGTGTTCATTGTGCAAATAGTTTCAGATTATTACCTAATAATTATTTGTTTTGTCATTTAATCTCTAGTGCTTTTCCAAGTTATTATATATTTCAGTTCATAGAAGTTTAAAAAAAACACTGTAATGTACAGCATAGGCAATAATTTTGTATACCTTGTAGATGGTAAGTAGGCCTATCAAGGTGATCACTCATAAGGTATAAAAATACTGAAACACTACCTGGTACACATAAAATTAACATAATGTGCCAATTATAAATCAATAAAAAATAACTTTAAAAAAGCATTGGAAATGAGAGAGGATAAAAATGTATTAACCACTTATTTCAAGTTAGCCTTCATTCTAGTCCAAGCACATTAATGTCACTTCAACACACCCTGATTTTTAGATTAAAATAAAGAGTAGATATATAATGTGATATTTATTTTTATGATAAGGAAAGAAAGTAAACGTAAAAACCTTTGCGTTCACTGAATATTACTTGAAAAGTTTATCTAAAATATTCTTTTAGTAAATATCCACCCTTCTCATCCTTTTACTTCATAACCTACTTTAAACTATTCATAAGTACCCTCTAAGACCTGGGTGTGAAAAATAACCTTACACACAAGTGTGGAAGTTGTCTGGACAAAGTGCTACACCTCATATAAGTACCTCCTGCAAAATTTCATGAGAAAACAGGAGAACGCTAGGAACATATATGCCAGGTAAAAGGCAACACATGAAGACACCATGATATATGTTCCTATAGGAATCAGACTCTGAAGTTGCCAATTATAAGGAAATAGGAAGAAATGGACATGCAAAAGGATCAAACTGCAGACTCTTGTAAGAACAACATCTGGGTTACCATAGAGATAAACTCTTAACCTAATCAATGATAAGTTAAAAGCACCTTTGAGGCAGTGGATTCCAAATCTGATTAACTGAAAAAGATTAAATGATCTCTTATTTTCTCATCAATAGCCTCAGAATGGCAGGTAGCCAGGCATGACGTTAATAAAAGTGTCACTATGGAAGTTTTACCACCAGAAAATGATCTTCTGATTAGCACATGGGTGAAGAGTTTTGTTTCACTGATTTGGAAGTCATTTTTTGTGGCCATTTTATTCCCAGAATAGAACTACAAAGAACAGCTGCAGACACTGATCCACTAAACAGCACCAGATTAAGCCTTTGGCTCACAGCCTAGAAAAGAATCCTAGGATGCACAAAGTCAAAGTGCTTCACCATGAAGGAGCACTGAAACCCAGGAGACATGTGGATTCATTCATATGCAATGCGCATTTATTCTTGGGACATACATTCCTTAAGCAGCTACGATATGTCTGTATAATATGCATGGGCAACAGGAGCAGAGGAACATGATACTACTGTATACCAGGCTTACAATCTAGGTGGAAAACTCAGAGTTTACAACATGGTGTATGATGAGAGCTATGATGGATATTCATCAAATATTTCTTATACTTGAATAGTCTATAAACTGGGGTTTCGTAAGTCCCAAAAGAACTTCTATATATATTGTAAAGTTGTCTATATAATAATTTTGTTAAATACCAATATTTTGCTTTTACCCAGATATTTATTTTATGTTAGAATGAATAGGGCAAGGATGGGGAAGCATGTTATCAGTTTTAAGATATAGGATGTGAAATTTGGATTGCTATTGCAAAAGAACAACTTTTGGAATATATTATTAAAATTTCAGAAAATAAAGCTCATCATGTAACAGCAGACCTCAAATAGTTCTACAAGAAATCACAAGTGTAATTTGAATTGGAGCTGAAAGTTAACTTAATCCACCAGGGTTGGGAGGATCACTGGTCTCCCACTGAAGTCAGTGAATATGCTAGCAGATGTAACTCAGCCACTGCCAGAAAGTCGAATTGTTTTGCCAATGAGGAACCAGAAAAATGGACTTGTGTATCATGCTTCTATTAAGCTAAAAAAAAAAAAGCCCATATGAAGAATAAGCTGAAAAATATTTAGTATAGAATTGTTGGTAAATAAAAGGTAATTCTATTCTTGATATTTGATATTTTTAGAATAGTATCTGTGTTGATTGCATCAAGCCTCGGGTGGAGGTGGAGGTGGAGAAAGGTGAGCCAGATCAGATGGGAGGTAAAAGAGAGACCTGCTAAGGTGTGGCAGGTGATCTAGAGGGCAAGAAATGACTAGGTGTTGACAGGCTGCAGGTATTCTTACCAGAGACTCAGCAGCAGGCAGGAAAATTCAAGTGATGGACAGGAGGGTCCAAACACAATACAGAGTCTCAAACAGGAGCTGGGTGACCAGAAGTTAGGGCTTGGTCACCAGGAGCAAGGCAGGTTAGGAGAACACAACACTAAAAGGAATGATGAGCTGGGATTGAGTTGACAACCTCCTAACCAATTCAGGTTTCTGAAAACTGGTTGGTCACAGAACCTGGGAGCACTGAGGATGGTGGAGTCTTCAACGATTCTGAGCAGGAAGTCAGGCTGACTCTTAAGCTCAGCTGGCTTCATTTAGAAAAGTTCCCTTGCATTTGTTTATTAATGATTCTCTTTCACTCATTAAAACAGTAGTTCTCAACCTTTGCTGTACATGAGAATCATGCCAGGGACTTTTTAAAAGTACTGACTCCATTCCAGACTTTACTGTACACCATTTATATCAGAATCTCTGGGACTGAGCCTGGGCATAGGTTCATTTTTGTTTGTTTAGCCACTTGGGTAATTCTAGTGTGAAATCAGAGTTGTGAACTTTGCTTTATACTGTGGGCTCCTTTAAAACAGGAGCTGTTTGTCTTTTCTCCTTATATGTGGTATTTGGTACACAGTAGTCATTTATTAAAGAAGAAAAATAATGAATGACTACCATGTTTTGGCCAGTTAGTATGACTGTTTTATAGCCACAGAGTGTCAGCTTAAGCCTATACATTTTGTAATGGAGGCCACAATGTGGGTACCAAAGTGATAAGTCAGACAGCAGTTTTGATCTTAAACATAGGAGAGGTAAGTATCACATGTGGCTGATTATATTAATTCAATTCTATCCCACTCTCCAGTTTGTTTATTATTTTTTTTCCAGTTTTTTTAAATACCACACACACACACACACACACACACACACCATGAAGAAGGACAAATAGTTAAAGCTTGTAAAAATGATCTATTAATGCTGACGTGAAAGACTATATGAGAAAAAGTTGCTTATCATATTATGAAATATGTAGGAATATGAACAGTTTACTGTGATTTCACTTCAGCTTTTAAATTTTATTTTTCTTCAAATCATTTTTTGGAGTGAAGGGACAGCTAATTTCCAAATCATTGGTTTTAGTCCTGAGCTGCACCTTAACTCATTCATATATTGGATGTGGTGACAAGCCCAAAGGGACCATTAAAATGCCGTTCTATACAATCTGGTATTCCCCTGTGTCCATAGTAAGGATTTGTGTAGGGTAGGGTTGAAGCAGCAGACTCAAGACAACTCTTCTTAAATCCTTTTTCGACCAAAATAATCTCATTTTCTATCGCCAAATCTCCTGTGTTCTTAACTGAATTCTTCATGTTCCTTCATGTTCTCGAGCAGATTCGAAGGTCATTTTTTATTAAATCTAAGTCCTAGCAGATTATGGTCCACTTTTCCAACCTAACTGTGGGAAAGTGGGATGGCCTTTCATCCAGATAGACTATCCATAGGGAAGGCTTTACTTTGACAGCAGAATATCACATTTACTGCCTGCCAGTTAAGCACCTGAACCATTTTGATCATATATTAGTCAACTTTAGAGAGTATGGCTCTTCCAACATTTATGAGTTCAACCATGATGTTATACTAGGTCAGTGCTTGGCAAGAACTCAATTAGGCATGAGACATTCCAAAAAGAAAATTTCGGGATGTTGTAACTATACCTTTCTTAACTCTGACACTGCACCAAGTCCATCTACACAGGCATTGTTCAGTGGATTAGCTTGGGGCCCATGAAAAATGCTGGCATTGTGTTAACTAACTAGAATTTAAATAAAAACTTGAAACAAGACAAAAAGAACAAAGAAAAAGAAATGCTGGTATTATATTTGCT